GATTCTCCATAAATATTTGTTGAATGAATGAAGATTCCATGGTGATAAGATCCTATGAATTAGTCATTTTTGTCCATGATCTTCATTGAACAATTCCTGTTTTAAGGTTAGGGTGTGTCTTGACAGTTAGATTCTTTCATTACTTTTAACATGGAAGAGCCAGTCAGAATACACACTGTAAGAGAAGCTGAGTAAAGACGAAACAGCTAGTTGAGCATCAGAAAGGGAACAGTGAATAGGAAGTTAAGTGGAATGAGATTCAGAAGGCAGTGGCTCCCATAACTAGAATTCAAAGAATTTGTATTTCTAATAGATTAGGTACAGTAAAAGGCATTTCTGACATCTGTGTATTTAGTTTAACCTTTATTTTAAAAAGTACTCTTTGATTCAGGTCATTAAATTGCATTGGGGGTTGTATTTAATAGGTTTTAATATTTTATATTTTTCATTCCACTGATTTTAAAGGGATTTATAGATATCTGAGCAGTAAGTCTTTTCTCTGGTAGAGCCCGGATTTTGGGCAATAGCATCCTTCACAGTAAAGGGCTGCAGCAACGTGTTACAAAACAGTATGGCTGGCTCTGCTTCCAGTCATTCTGCAGGAAAGCCGAACTTCCTTATTTTCTCCCAAATTATTTTGTGAAGCCCCAAGTGCACCTGCAGAGCAGTTGTCGTCGCCACTGTTGTCTTCCAGCCTGCGCTAGCTCTGGCTTTGGGGAAACAGCTCTGTTTCCGCGGAGGCTTACAGGGCAGACAGGCCGCTGGCAGCTGCCCAAAGCCCTGCGCAGCTGCTGGCGCCCACAGGGGTCTGCCCCGAGGCCGACTCCTGTGTGGAGGCCTTTTCTTCCTAGACGGCGCTGTGGTCTTCACCTCCTCTTGTCACTGCCAAAATCACCAGTGCCAAAACCACATGGTGTTCCAAATTCTACTAAAGAAAGTTAAGAGTAACTTTCATTTTGTGTGATATTATTTCATTTATTATGTTAATAGGTTTATAGAAAAATTGCAAATATACCACAGAGTTCTTGTATATCTTATATCCAGTTTTCCCTTATTTTTATTTTCCTTATATTATTAACATCTTACATTAATATGGAACATGCCATAATTAATGAATCAATGTTGATATTATTAACTGAAATCCATATTTTATCCACCTTTCCTTAATTTTTACCTAATGCCCTTTAGCTGTCCCAGGTTCCAATGCAAGATACTATATTACGTCTAGTCATTATGTCTCTTTAGGTTCCCCTTGGCTATGACAGCTTCCCAGACTTCCCTTATTTTTTATGACCTTGACGATTTTGAGGAGTACTGGTCAATTATTTTATAGAACGTCCCTCAGTTGGGATTTGTCTGATATTTTTCTCATAATTAGATTTGGGTTATGTGCTTGGGGAAGGAAGACCACAGAAGGGCCATTTTCATTGCATCATATCAACAGTACGTACGTACCAACATGATATCACTCCTGGTTTTAACCTTGATCACCTGGGTAAGGAACATTTGTTGGGTTTCTCCAGTGCAAATTTACTTCCCTGCCTTTGCCTTTTCCATACTGTTTGCATTGAAAGGAGCCACAAACCACACTTAACAAGTGAGGAGCTATGCTCAGCTCCCTTGAAAACAGAGTATCTACATAAGTTATTTAAAATCCTTCTGCACAGATTTTTATATTCTCTCCCACTTATTCATTTTAATTCAATTTATAATTTATGTTTTTCAGTATGCTTCATGGATTTTTTTAATTTATACTTTGAATTATAACCCAAAACCACTTAATTTTGTTGGTCAAACTGTCTAGCTTCGGCCAGCTCTTTCAGTTGACTCCTTTGTCCCTTTGACATACACAGGTGTAAACCTTTTTAATGTTCCTCTTTTATGACTTTCTAGTGCTACAAGATGCTCCAGAGTCACCTTGTGTATTTTTTGTCCCAGTCCTTGAATCAGCCATTTCTCCAAGAAGCCCTGGCTCCTTGTGTTGGAGAATGGTGTTAGAAACCAAGATCTGGGCCCTGGGTGTGCTATTGCTGCCAGGGTATCCTACCTTCTAAGCCCTCTCAGCTGACAGAGTAAGGAAATGTGTGTGTGTGTGTGCTAACGCACACAAGATCTGTCCAGAAAAAGTCAACCATTGTTAATATAAAGAGAATGGTGTGCACAACACTGATGTAACCTGGCAGCCAAGAAGAGTGGGCTGGAATGAGCATGCATGAACAATGACGACTTCACTGTACTAGTCAGGGTGGTGGTAGATGCCACTGAGCACGGCAGCGTGTGTACCGTGTAGCCAACACATTCAAAATGACTGAGTGAATAGAGCAATGAATCTACATCAAATTTTGCGTTAAGCGTGAACATTCCTCTGCGGAAACTATTTGGATGATTCAGAAAGCTGCACCTATGGGCAACTAGCGGTTGGCGGCTTCATCACAACAACACGCCCGCTCATGCATCACGCCTTGTGCAGTTTTTTGGTAAAATATCAAATCACCCCGGTGACTCAGCTCCCCTGTAGCCCAGATTTAACACCCTGTGACCTGGCTTTTCCCAAACTGAAATCACCTTTTGAAAGGGAAGAGATTTCAGACCATAGATGAGATTCCAAAAAATATGACAGGGCAGCCGATGGCAATTGGGAGAACTGGGTGAGACCCCAACATGCCTCCTTTGAAGGGGACTGAGGCGTCACTGTCCTATGTACAATATTTCTTATATCTTGTATCTTCTTCAATAAATATCTCTGTTTTTCACAGTACATGGCTGGATGCTTTCTGGACAGACCTTGTATACACACACACACACACACACACACACACACACACACACACACATCTATGAATATTCCTGTATGTAACTCTCTGTATTTATATTAAGCTAAACATGAGGTCATAGTGGTATCTCCAACTCATTACTGCATGGGCCCATTCTAGCCTTTTCCTCTGTGGATATACAAGTTCTCAACTGGAGTACATTTAGTTTTACAGATTCCACTCATTTCCAAGTCCCTTAGGTCAGCATCTTTTCTCTCACCCCTTTCCGTGAGGAGGTTTCACCTATTTATAATGCAGATTTTTTTTGTTCCTGTCTTTATTCCATTTTGGAATTCTCCAAAATGATTTTTTAAATGTGCATACATTAAGGTTTTATGAGTTTGGACTATTGGATAGTATCCTGTCCACCATCACAGTAATAAGCAAAAGGGTGTCACTATCATTAAGTGTCCTCTGTGCTTATTCTATTTAACCCTTCTCCTCCATTGACTTCTTTCTAATCTATTTTCCACCTCTCTAGTTTTGCTCTTCCAGAATGTCCTATAAATAGAATCATATATAGTTTGTAGTCTTTCAGACTTGGTTCCTTCAACTAGCAATATACATTTAAGACTTATCCGTGTCTTGCCTTAGCTTGATAGCTCATCCTTTTAAAAAGCTTTTTATATTGTAGTAAAATACACATAACATAAAAGCTACCACCTTAACCATTTTTAAGTGTACAGTTTAGTGGTATTAAGTACATTTGTAACAGTCAAGTGCTCTCTCTCTACCTTAATTCTAGCCTGCATTTCTCTCTTGGTCTTCAGGTTCAGAACTTGTGTCCCAGATATGCTAACTAACTAGATGAATTCTGCTTAAGGCTTGGGTTTTTGCAAAGGGCACCTTTCCTGAAGAGGTGGGGAAGTACGCAGAACACAATGACTGCTTATCAAAAGATTCACAGGAGTCTCCGGGACCGGACCCAGGGTACAAAGGGATTTTGAAGCAGCGAGCTCTTCCTCGGATTCCCTCTCGGCGCCCCGCGGTCTGGCTGTCTGGGGCGGGGCCCAGGCCGGAAACGCCCACCTCCTGCCTGGACCCTCCTCCCTTCCCTGATAAGACGGCCTGACTTCGGGGCTCTCTTAAGACGGATTTGAGGATTAGTTATCCCAGTTCTCAGCTGGAGTTTTGCCCACCAATAAACCTTTCCTTACTCTAAAGTCCGACGGTGTGAATGCTGGCCTTTCTTCGGCGGCATCGGCAGGCGACCCCTGCACCTGTAACAGTCGCCTCGCTGCGCCGCCGTCCCCGCCGTGCGCCTCCAGCCCTCGCTTCACCTTGCGAAGCTGAAACTAGACTTGGGCACCATCAGACTCGCTCTTTCACCTCTAGGCTCGCACGTACCGGACGCTTCCTATATGCTAGGCTCTGTGCTGCAAACAAATCGATGAGGGGGCCCTATGACCCACAACTCTATGACGGAGGCGAAAAAAACTAACTTAATTATCAAGGAGATCCCGTTGCATGCCGTTTTCCCTATCGGTCCAACCCTGGTTCGCTCTTCTAAGTCTTCTCCCGCTACCCCACCCGCCCCTACCCGCGCAGCGCTGCACCTCCATCACCGCCCGTCTTCTCTCGGTCGCCCCATTATTAAAAAACGAGGTGGTTGGCCAAGGTGATTATTTAGATGTCTTGCCAGCTTCACGGTTTTACAGTTTTAGGACCGGGCAGGAAAACGCTCAGGTTCCTCACTTCGAAGCAACTGTCCAACCAAGTGTTCGTTCACCTTCCCACTCCGCGCTGGGCGGACTTGCGCGCGCCCGGCCCCGAACCCTGCGGTCCCAGAGCAAAAGCGGGCGAGGGCGCCAGGGCCGCCCGGCGCATGCGCTCTGGTCTCCGAGCGCGCGGCGGCCCTCGGCTCCCGGCTCGGCTCGCGCCGCTTCCAGTCCCTGGGAGAGGGGCAGGGGTGTGTGCGTGTCCGGACGGCTTGCCCACGGGCCCCTCCGCCAGTGCCCTTGCAGCACTTCCCACGCCGCTCCTCTGCCCGTCCCCGCCTACCCGGCTCTAGCCCCGACACCTCCGCGCGGAGCCGGGGGGTGGGGGAGGAGTCCTCCAGCGTGACGCCCGGGGCCCCAGCTCTTCGGGAGTCCGCCCGCCCCAGGGCCTGAGGAGGGGGCGGGGCTGCGGACTTCGGACTTCGGACTTCAGCCCGTGGACCGCCGGCTTCCGAGCGGACCAGGCGGCTCGGTGCGCAGGGGAGCGAGCCATGGCGGCGCTGCGGGGGCTCTGGCTCGAGGTGCAGGACACCTGCACCTCGCTGGGGTTGATGCTGTCGATCGTGCTGACGGTGGCGCTGGCTCGCGTGGTCCTCCGGCGGCATATGCACAGGCCCATGGCCCACACCTTTGTCTTGGAGTTTCTGGCCACCTTCCAGCTGTGCTGCTGCACTCATGAGCTGCAAGTGCTGAGCGAGCAGGAACCCACGCACCCCACCTGGCCGCTGACGCTAGTTTATTTCTTCTCTTTGGTGCATGGCCTGACTCTGGTGGGCACCTCCAGCAACCCGTGCGGTGTGATGATGCAGATGGTGCTGGGGGACATGTCCCCCGAGATAGGGGCGATGAGGCTGTTGGCTCAGCTGGTTGGTGCCCTGGGCAGCAGATACTCTATGGGCGCCGTGTGGAGCTTGGGACTGACCAGGTATCACGTCAGCGAGAGGACCTTCGCTTGCAGGAATCCCATCCACGTCGACTTGCCCAAAGCCGTCGTCATAGAGGCCATCTGCTCCTTTATCTTCCACAGTGCTTTGCTGCACTTCCAGGAGGTCCGAAACAAGCTTCGTATCCACATGCTGGCAGCACTCATCACCTTTTTGGTCTATGCAGGTTTGTTATTCCCGCAAAACACTTGGTACCTCCGGAGCCTCTATGACCTGAGGCTCTCAGTTCTTTACCAAGATATAGTTGAAACCCCCGAACCTCTGTGATGTCAGTATTACTATTACCATTCTAAACATTTTGCATCCAGTTTTTTTCAGGATAGGGCCAACATACAGATCCTTCATTCAGTGCTTTTTTGAATACCCAGAAAAAGAAGGCACTTCTGTGCTGAAACTAAGATCTCCTGAGATAATGCCAAGGGTTCAAATATCCTGCAAAGGGATTGTTTTAATGGTAGACAGGAAGATAGCTTTTCAGCTGCCTCTTTCCTCAAGCCAACCTGGTAAAGATCCTTTCTGACACTCACTGAAAAACGATCCTGACATGACTGGGTAGTAGTAAGAGTGGAGAGTAGAAATTATGTAGTTCTTTTTCGTAGTTGTTTTCCTGAAAAATTACTTAAAGTCATTTTTATCCCCTTAATTCATCTTGAGGAATAAATGAACTTTTAAGTGACTTATCAAGAAAGATGTGTTTTAAAATGAAAACTTTCTTGAAATTAAAGGTGCTTTTTAAAAACAACTCTTGAGAAATCTGTTGATTTCTTATAAACCACTTGTTTACTTTGACAAGACCTCAGATGCAAAAATAAAAGTTTAACAATGAAATGTGTCATTTTAAAAGATTACAACAAAATATCTTCATTGGGACTATATCTAAATTATAAAACATTTTGAAGGCCAGGAAATTTGTAATAAAAGTTTATCTTCTGCCCATTAAAAGTGAAACTATGAGTAGAAGCAGACCTTAAGACAAGGACTCCTAAGGTGAAAATGAAAGTTTCCAATCCATTTCCCTTTCTTTAGACCTAGTACCATTCTCTTTGTGGACAAGAATGGAAATAAATGGTATAGGCAAGAGGGCAGGATATATGCACATTTGAGGGGTTGGTGAATAGTTGCTTATTAAAGTCTTAGGTTTTGGCTAAAGCAGAAACCTCCCCCACATATGGACGGGATCATCTGTTGCAAAAAGTTATGCCACAGTTGGGGCACACTTGAGGGTACTTAGAAGTCACTAATATGGGTTGCATCAAAATAACCGATTATGTATTTTAAGATTATAGAACATAACCGTCCAGCAGTGTAGCCACAGGTTCTTTGGATGACCAATGACCAAGTGTCTGACTGTGCATTTATTGATTTAGCACCTGCACTTTGATGTGCACATGGAGGCCATTGATGTCATTGCCACTTATGTATTTATTGGCTTCCCAAATTAAAAAAAAAAAAAAGCTGTGTAATTAACATGTTAGGGCTATAAAATTGCTCATGCAGATTTCAAGCAAATCTTCCTTAACTTAGGTATGGGAGAAGTTAGCTCAATGAACAGGGTAAAAGAGAACTAATTTTTTAATTAATTCGATACTGAAAAAGTATGTTATTTTACACATTTAAGTAAGTGGCTTCTATTACAGAATGCTGTTCATTTCATTTGTAGAATCTTTATACACTTGTTTTCTGATGTAATGCCTGTCTTCCTCCACCAGACAGTAAGTTTTATAAGTAGAGAGACTAAAATTGTTTTATTCATGATAACATACAACTACTTAGCATGGTGTCACCTGGTACAAAATAAATACTCAGTAAGGATTTTTAGAATGAGTGAATGAGTTACCAAGTAGTCTATTCACTTTTAAAAATTATGCAGGAAGAAATAATACATATTTAATGTCTACGGGCTTTCAAAATAAGCATAATAAATTATCTGAAGAAATTGTAGTATTTTTACTTCATTTCATTACTTCATTCAGGAGTTGTTTTTGTATCCTTTTAAATTATGAAGAATATAGGTAAAATTATTTACCAAAGGAGAAGGGAATTAAGTCCTTTACATGTTTTCATTTTTAATACAATAACCATACGAAATAGGTGCCAATTTAAAGATGAAAAATAGATTCAAACAAAGGTCCAAAATATTGTTTTATTACGCCAGTGATAATAGAATGGTTACAAGAACAGTTTTGGAGTTGGACCATGTCCTTAGAAGAGATACTTCATTTGGCCTTCAGTTTCCTCATCTCTAAAATAAAGAATAACACTACCTATTCTGCTGTGAAGAACACAGTAACGAATTCAAGTTCTTAGTATAGCACCTGGTACAAATATTCTGGTCACTGGAAAGGGCTAGCTTCCGCTGAGAATTAGTTAATTGACATTCTGGCTTATACATGAGCCTTATGTGATTTTAAGAGAGTTATTTTGTCAGATAATTTGATTCTCTTTAGGAGTATTGAGAAACATTAGTGCCTCAAATTGCCAGACTTGGGACTTAGTCTTCTGCTGTGGTGATGTCACTCAGCTCCTGCTGTCCCTCTAGGCCTCTTCGCACTCAGGGGGCTGGATCTCCCCACTGATTCCTTGTGTTATGTCTTCTTCAACTTGTGTTATGTCTTTTCCCCTTCAAATGTCAATAAACAGTAACATTTTTCAAAGGCATTTTCTGTTAGTTCTGTGTCTGGTGCATGATTCTCACTTTCTAAATAATTCATGTTTAATTACACAAGTAATACATGACTGTGTTCTTTTTGTAAAAAGTCGAAACACTACCCTGAGACTAAAAGTGACTTTTGACTGCCATCCTCCAGCCTTGTGTGTCCCCTCTCCTTCCCTGCCTACTCTTTCCTCCAGGGTAATCCTCCTGCATGTGTGTGTCCTTTCAAACCTTTTAATGTGTGTGTATGATACATATGGATAAGACCCTTTAGAAACCATTATGTGTGTTTGTGTTAACATAAAAAGGTCCATACCTTACTTTTTGTGGGGTTTTTTGGGGGTTTTTTTTTTTTTTTGGTAGTGGTTGTTGAATGCTGTATCTTGGAAATCTATGTTAAAAGAGTTCTCTCATTATTTCAAAACCTTGAATGGTATTCCAAATTAATAATAAACTAACTTACTTAGCTGTTTTCTTATGAATGGCCCTGTAGGTTTTTCCCAGTTCTTTGCTACTGTAATTAAACTTTGTATGCAGGTATGTCTACTTGTACACGAGCAACAGTGTTTCTACAGGACAGTGGTTTTCAATAGGAAACAATTTTTCCCCCAGGGAACATGTGGCAACGTCTGGAGACATTTTTTGTTGTTACAATGGCAGGTGGGGGCGCCGAGAGGGGAACGGATATGCTGCTGGCATCTAGTGGGTAGAGGCCAGGGATGCTGGTAAACGTCCTACAATGCAGAGGACAGCTCCTACATCCGACTCATCCAGTCTAAAACGTCAAAGTCAATGCCAATGGCAAATGCTTTAGGCTTCATTAACACAGAAGCTGCTCCTGAGAATGCATTTCTATATCAGTTAACTATTGCTGTGTAACAAACCACCCCAATCTTTAAAATGACAATAATTTATTATTTTTCATGATTCTGAGGGTTAGAAAGAAAACTCTGAGATCAGGTAGCTGGTCAATTGTTGTGGCTGGAAGAGCCACAGTGGCCTCACGCATGAGTCTGCTATTTGGTACTATCACCCCAGGTGCCCCAGTTCTCCTTTATGTGGCCTCATCCCCCAGCAGCATAGATCAGCTTACGGACATGGTCACAGCGTTGTTCTAAGAAAGCAAAAAGTGGCGGCTGACGGGTTTGTTGAGACCTGAACCTGGAACTCACACAGCGTCACTCATATTCAGAATTCACATAGCATCACTTCTGCTGCATTCTGTCTATGCAAGTCACAAAGCCAGTCGACATTCAAGAGAGGAGAAATAGACTCTACCTCTTGGTAGGAAGGGCAGCTTCCACCAAGTCACACTGAGCAGAACTGGTGATGTGAGGACTCGAAGGTAAAGGGAGTGAAGTAGTGTAAGTTTCAGGATGGTACAAGACTGACTGATAGCGTTCTTAGGCATATTGGGAAGTCTGGCTTTGGAACACCAAAGTAAACTAATTATGAGGGCGATGGTTCAGTCTGCTTTCAATGATAGATGCAAAAAAAAAAAAAATCACAAGTTGCTAATTATATTATCATAGCACATATTACATTATATTGTAAAGGTCTGTGTGAGCCCTTATCTTTCTGCCCACAACGTGCAGGGAGGAACTCAATAATTTTTCTTTTGTGGAATTGAACTGAAATGACCCCACTGCCAACCAAACAATTCTGTTGGCCCTTGGCAGTGGCAGATTGAACATTCCAGGATTTGACTAATTTTTTATAAAGATTTCATTTATTTATTTTTAGAGAGAGGAAAAAGGAGGAAGAGAGGGAAAGAAACATCAGTGTGTGGTTGACTTTCTCATGCCCCCGACTGGGGACTTGGCCTGAAACCCAGGCATGTGCCCTGACTGGGAATCAAACTGATGACCCCGTGGTTCGCAGGCAGCACTCAATCCACTGAGCCACACTAGCCATAGCCAAGATTTGGCTATTTGAGAATGATTCTGAAGGTCCATGGTGTGATGTAATTTTTAACTGCTAAGGCATGAACATGAATCATGCTGTGAGACTAGTGTGCTAGAAGAAAACTCTTGGCTATCCAGTGGACTCGGTTCATTGCTCAACATCTTCTCGTCAACAGAGCTTCAATATTTTCAGCATATCAGGTGTGCAATCTCAGTGAAATCTTACAAAAGGGTCGTTTAATTTCCAATTTTACTTGCTGCATTAACATGGTATGGTGTGTGTCAATATAAAATCTGTGAAGATCTTGGGCTCTATCGCTGTGGCTGAGTCAGGGGCAGATGTGTGTACCTAAGCTTCCACATGGAAGGACCACCAGAAATGTCGCTGTCTCAGGGATAATCTTAGGGTGTGTTTTGAAAAGCTGAGCCACAGCCCTGGTGAGCACTGTTGTACAGGCTCTCCTGCCTTTCTTTTCTTGCTGTGTAGCCAGAACTATTAACGTGCAAGCCCCATGTCAGAGATACCCTAGGTGCAGAGGTGGACCATGAATACTGAAATGCAGTCAACTGTTAGAATTTATGCTTATCATTCATGGCTAGTCAGTCACTTCTTTGTAAAAAAAATTTTGAAACCACTTTACTGAGGTATAATTTCCATACCATTCAGTTATTTCTTCAGGGTTCTCTTGATAAGTAAAAATGGAGCCAGTGATAATGCTGTGGTCCACTTTACTTTTTGTTTTCAACACAAAGGTAGGCTATGCTCAAGAGGAACCTGGGGTATTGTATCCATTTTTAAATACATTTTCATTTTATTTTTATTCATTCATTTAAATTGATCAGTGTTAAGGGCAGCCAAATCTCCTGTTTCAGAGAGCCTTATCGAAACAATAGAGCGGATTCACTGTGCATGTGCATTTTACAATAATATCCAGGTAAAGCACTGGATTAACGTTCTTAATGTCCTTTGTATTTTTTTTTGCACTGGACATACTATAATCTATACTCTACTTTTATACTCCATAATATGCCAGGTGATTCTGCAAGAAAGATCAAAGAATACAGTCAACCCCTGTATTTAGAACCCCATGGGTTATGAATCCATGGATTCCGAATCCACAGATTCAAGCAACCATGGATCAAAACAATTCTTTTTGTTGTTGAGCTTTGTGCATTCATTGGTTGATTCTTGTATGTGCCCTAAACGGGGGATCGAACACGTAACCTAGGTGTATCAGGGCGACGCTCTAACCAATGGCCAAGCCGAGCTACTTGGCCAAGACAATCAAAAATATTCTTAAAAAATGTTACATTGTTGCTGACATGTACTATGTAGGTAGGCCTTATGATGGCTGTGTCTGTATTGAATATGTACATTTTATATTGTCATTATTCCCTAAACAATAAACAATTATTTACATAGCATTTACATTGTATTAGGTATTAGAAGTAACCTTGAGATGATTTAAAGCAGGGGTGTCCAACCCGCGACCCATGAGCCACCTGCAGCCCAGGATGGCTGTGAATGCGGCCCAACACAAAATCGTTAATTTACTTAAAACCTTTTTTTTTTGCTCATCAGTTTTCATTAGTGTTTGTGTATTTAATGTGTGGACCAGGACAACTTTTCTCCTCCCAGTGTGTCCAACCTTTTGGCATCTCTGATTTAAATTTTATAGGAGAATGTGAATATATGTGTGTATATATATAGATATATATGTTATGTGTACTTGCTATGCCATTTTACATAAGGGACTTGAACAATTCTGGAGTTTGGTATCTGCAGGGGCCTGGAACCAACTCCTCTCACCCCCAGATACCCAGGGATGACTGTACTTGAGTATGTAAAGCAAAAGTCACATTTAGTAACCCCTTTATTTTCAGTTACAAGAGAATGTAAGATACACTCTGCTTAAAATGTATTACAGGAGGAAGTCTAACAGGAGCTATATTTAACCCAGCTTTGGCACTTTCACTACATTTCAAGTGTTTTGATGAAGCATTCCTTCAATTTTTTATAGTGTATTGGCTGGCTCCTTCTTTAGGTAAGCATATTTTTATTTAATATGATTGAAAGATGAGTTTATCTTAAAATATGATATGGAATGTCTCTGTAACATGTCAATTTTCAAAGCCAGAGTACCGACAAAAAAGAAAATGAAAAAGGTACTTAACATGCCTGAAATAACAGCTTATCTTGTGTAGTATCCTTTAAAACTGTTTTTATCTTCAAAGAAACAAAAATGTCTAGTTAAGTGTAGTCAGTTTCAAGTATGATACCACTTTGAAAAACCCTCAGATAGGAGGGCAAAAAAAAGTGAGGAATGATTCATTCCATCAAAACATAATCTTTTTTCGTTAAAGGAATTAGTTTTTTCAAATTTGTGAGGTCCATATAAAATACCATTTAGTTCATTTGACTCATTTTGCAGAAAAGCAAAAATGAGTCTCATAAATCAGTGTGTACCGGTAACAAGCATAGTTTTAAAATCTGTAAGATTCATTCCTGTTACTTCTACTGGGATAGGCCAAATAACACAAAAAGTTAAAAAAAAAATCCAGTGGTACCTCAGTACTCGCCATTAATTCGTTCTGGGACTCTGGATGAGGACTGAGACCGATGAACGCTAAATGATGAAGCATTTTCTCTTGCGGGGCGGTGCTGTGACTCATACAAGTTTTAGCAAATGCTGAGTGCCGAAACATTTTCTTCTCATCAAAATGTGACACGTACAGAAGCGGACGAGTACCGAGGTATGACTGTAACTGTGGTCATAATGTGCATTTCTTTATATAAGTTACCAGCATTTCTTGATTCTACTTAGTCATTTGTTTTAAGCCTGATTATAATTCATAATTATAAGTGAATATGAGGATGCCTGGCTTTCTATTAGTTCATCCTTTTTATCTACAGCATTTTTTTCCTTGTTACTCATTTCTGACTATTTTTAAGGGTACGTATAGAAGGGAACGGGGGCATAACAGGTTTGAATAGCCATCACACTTTGCGCTCCTGCCCTTTACCTTCCATTCCTTTATTTAGTATCTACTATGTTCAATAATAATATATGCAGGTCTAAATATGAAGAGTGTCAGAGAATACCTGCAGTTTAAAATGCTAATAATAATGGTGCCTTTTTTTAGTTCAATAGATTGCCAGGGTTTTCCCAATAACAACTACTTTAACAATAAATTTTCTATTTTTGAATTTAAGTTAAAAATGTCACTGTAGTTAATGAAGAAATTAAAAAGGTCACTTATCGGCCAGGTCTAGTGATAGTTTCTATGTGGAAAAATCTCTAATATGTCTTATTTGAAATCAAACATATATTATTAACATATGCATATCCGTTAGTGTTCCGACTACAATATCAACAACAGGCCATGATACTAAGGAATTATTTCTTTCATTACTTGAAAGAACACTGAAAAGTAGGCCTTTCCAGAAGAATTTTATAAGAAATCAGAAGTAATGGCACTCTCCCTGACATTTTGACATTTTACTTTAAACACACGTTTTTCAAGCCTAGCTACTCAGTATCTTCTTCCTGAAGAATAGGCTGGAAAAAAGAAATCTCATGATAGATAAAAAAAAAGAAACAATCATCTCTAACCCCTTTAGAAAGTATACAGACTAGAGAGTAGCAGGGAGGGAAAACAGGCTATGCTTCATGTTCCAAACAAGGAAGTACTATCGTTTATGGCCATTACCAGAACATTTTTAAAGAACTACTTATCCAAAAACATCCCAAACAAAAAACAAATATATTTTTATCCATCTCTTTGCTTCCTATTTAGGGAATCTTTTAAAACTGGAATTGGGATTAACTTTTTTTTCTAACTAGTATGGCCCTACCTAGCTTGTTGAAAATAAGCATTCAAAGATTCTTAGTTGGCCTAAAGACCTCCTAGCTTAATACATTCAACATAAAATTCCTGTTGTAGTTTTTGGTTTAAAGAGGCATGTTCTCATAATTTTCAAAGAGATTTATGAATGATAAGCAATACAGGAATCCGTCCATATGTGAATAAATGGCGGCCTTGATAATACTGAATTCTAGCTTACAATGAATTTTATCATATATTGAAGTTACATTGCCACTGGAAAAAGAAAATCGCCTCAAATGAAATAAGACCATAATTAAACTCTAAGAAAGATGGGAAATATAAGAAATAATATTTTTACAAGAGTCATTCAAAGGGCTATTCAAAACAAACCAACCCCTGTTAAAACTACAGTAGGCAAGACGGGAGTGAGATGGACTAGTTCCTAGAGAGTGATCTTATTTCCTTTTCTGACCAGGTAGGGAGCAGACTGTTCTTGGAAACCATAAACCTTGTTCGTTTCTGTTTCTCTTCATAGCAGATGTTGTAATTCCTTTAATGCTCCCTGCCATCTCCTCAAAATTAATTTAAAATGTTATACATGGGGCTATAAGGCTGTATATAAAATTAATTCTCTAATTTACACCTTTCACAGAATGCATATTAGCAAATTACCATATGCATATATGAAATGGAAATTCCATTTTAGGAAAAAGTTTTAAATATAATGTCTTACTTCCTAGCTCTGACTTTATAAAGAAAATGTCAAAGTTGGTCAATCCGTTTACAGGGATGGTCTCTGACATTATTTTCATTTCAAGCCTTCGGTTGCAAACAGACTCATCTTTTAAAAATGTTAAGCTATCCAAATGCTAGTTAAAGCTTCAGGTTTCCTATTGTTACCAAACAAGGGTAAATATCAAATCTGCATGTGACAAAAATTCACTCTTAATCCTAGTTTAAACTGACCTAGAACTTTAAACCTAAGTACGTTAAGATAAACACATTAACTATTGGAGATTTCCCGTTCAAGACAGTGTGATTTGGGCCCTGTGGCTCACTCAGCAACATCCCTGGTTCCTACTGACAACTCAACCATGCTAGACTTGTCTGGTGTGACCTCAAGGTGAAGATTTACTAATATGTGATTTTTCCCCATATTTAAGATTTAAAATTTCAGTATTAACCAAAATTTTATTTAAGTATTTTGCTTGATATAGCTTTAAAAGCTATTAATGGTTAAAATTAATAGAAAAAAAAAGAGAAGAGATAAAGTAATCTAGCCTATTGTTCTTTTTTGAGCATTGCAAGTGAAAACTCAAGGGTGCTTTCAGCTGCTTTATTCTCCCAGTGCATCCCCGGGGGCCTGGGAGAGAGGGTTGCCATTTTAAAGAAGAGCAAACGCAGACCAAAGCTTCTCACTCAGCAAGTCAGTAATGGAGCCAGAACTAGAACTCCAAATACTTCGGTTTTGTTTATTCTTTAAATAAATGTTTAGCTCTTACTGGTTTTACCAAGTACATACTGTTTTTAAGGATTCATGGTTGAAGAAAAACAATGTGAGAATTAGATTTAGAAAATATCTACATTTCATGTGGAATTGATGTAACTAATTTTGTTTTTATTGTATTTTATTTTTCAGGCATATTGTTGATGATTTTGATGTTCAGCTTTTTCCTTCCCTGGCTGCATAACAACCATACAACTAATAAAAAGGAGTAACTATTCCAAAAGACTCAGACTAAATAACAAGACAGTCAAGCTGGATGTGATAAAAGATTTTATTACCTCATAGTCAACACACTGGCTGCACTGGATTCATTAATGTTGGTTTTCTTTGAGGAAGCTGCCTTAGTTTTCATCACTGGGACTTAAAATTACTGTGCAAATGAGGTACCGTGTTTCTCAGTTAAGACTTGTTCTTCTGAGTGTGTATTAAATGCTGCTAGAAAAGGCTCACTACATTAAATATAAATCTCAAGTAATAATTACTAATTTTGATGAGGACAAAAAAGTGAGTACAGGGTGAGAAGGGAAAGGAAGGTGACGGTAGACCCCAAGAAAGAGTATGTATATCATGTGTCTCTTGAATGAAGAGAATTTTTAACCAAAGTACAACTAGTCATGCTTACAGGACAGAGAGACGATACTTTTCAGCCAGCACCTCACGCAATGATACCCAGTGTCATCTTTCAATAGGAAAGTTGCTTTTGGAAGCAGATTATATATCTACTTGTACTCACTGGGTTTTTTACATTTTAAGTATATTCTAATCTAAAATATTTTCTCTAAATAGAGACTCACTAGCTTTAGCAAGCTGTTATTCTTTAATAGGACATAGTCAAACAAAGCACCCAGAGTCAGGAGGTTAGCTTTTCACACTCTTATTTGATCCTTATCAAAGTAGGTAGGGCATGTATTTTTAATCTGTTCTACAGATAAGGAAACTAAATCTAGGGCGGAGTTTGCCGCCCTGTCCAAGGTCAAATACAGCCAAATACTCTCTTTAGGACTTCTACTTAATACAAAAAATCTTTTCGATCAATATGACTAAAGAAAAATTGAAGATTTTGAAGACACATTAAACATCTTCGTAATGTTAACATTTGTCTAGGAATTAGCTGTTGTTGTTTTTTTTATTTTTAAGGCTTAAAGAACCTTCAAATTTTCGTCTATTAGAAGCTTTCCTTTATTGTATAAAGTCTACTTTATTAAAAGTTCAGGCCATAAAAGTCAGGTGTGTTTTTCTTCAAAGGCAATTCCATTATCAGGATTAGAATTGAAGAAAAAAAATATGGGGTGAAATAAAATCTGTCTGAGCAATACTCAATTAAGCAAGTGATAACTTGCCAGGTAATTTAAGCGCTGCTTGGTGATCAGCTTCTAGATAGTTCTCTTTACACCTGCAGACTAGACTGCGCAGCTGGCTACCCAACAAGGCAGCCAGCCAGTTTGACTATCACGGACTTACAAATACATACCATAGTAGTTTCTGTTTTAAAAGCAGAGTTCTTAAAATTGTGAGGATGGCTAAATGCAGTCTCTCACGTTTTACTTAAAAAACAAAAAGCTAGTATTTTAAGTCCCTTTCACATAAAAATTCAGTATTCTCTTGCAAAATATCAAAAAAAGATCTAGCAATGCTAGGTCTATATTCTGCCATGGAAGTAACACAAAGTGGTTGTTCCCCTTAAAATGGCCCTTTTGGCCATGGCCTGCATGGCTTGGTTGGGTGCCGTCCAGCAAAGCGAAAGGTCGCTGGTTTGATTCCTGGTCAAGGAACACACCTGGGCAGTGCATTTGGTTCCCTATTAGGGTGCGAACAAGAGGCAACTGATCAGTGTTTCACTCTCACATCGATGTTCCTCTCCCATTTTCTGTCCCTTCCCCTTTCTCTATAAAAAACTTTTTTTAAAATGAAAGGGTCCCTTTGCCACTCTCCATCTTCCAAATGTGAAGCTGTTTCACCACTATCATGGCTGTTTTTCTTAGACTTTTAAAAAATGCATGTCTCTCTCATGAGGACTCTGTGGTTTAATAAAAATGAGTATTAATTTGTAAAAACACCTACCCCTCTAAACTTCACTTGTATTTGAGTTTGTGACTTTTTAAAAAATATTTTATTGGTTAGTATTTTTTTTTTTTATTGTTCAAATACATTTGTCTCCATTTTCCTGCCACCACTTTCCCTTGACCCCCCTCACCCCCCACCCTCAATCCTTCCCCACTTTGGCTTTGTCCCTGGGTCCTTTATACATGTTCCTTGGCTTGACCCTTCTCCTTCTTTTCCCCATTACTAGCCACCTCCCTCCCCTCTCATTGTTGTTTTTTCTTCCAATGTTGCCGGTTATATTTTCCTTGTGTTTTATTGATTAGGTTCCACTTATAGGTGAGATCATATGGTATTTGTCTTTCACCCTCTGGCTTATTTTGCTTAGCATAATGCTCTCCAGTTCCACCCATGCTGTTGTGAAGGGTAGGAGTTCTTTCTTTCTGCTGGGTAGTATTCCATTGTGTAAATGTACGTTTTTTGATCTGAGTTTGACTTCTGATGACACTGCTTTTCCTGAATCCCTCTCAAGTGGTGGCATTTTCTCTACCCCCCCCCACCCCCCGGTACAACTGGGCCTGGAGTTGGAACAGGTTCCTTTCTCCTTGTTGCTGCTTCCCATCTAATCTCTCCTGCTCCCTATTAAAAACATGGCATCAGACCATGGCATCTGGCATCTGCCACCTGGGAACGTCTTACTGCAGTTATCTACTGTATAGTCCTCTCAATTCCTCCTTGTTCTTTTTTTTTGTTTCTTTAAAGATTTTATTTATTTTTAGAGATGGGAAGAGAGGGAGAAAGAGAGGGAGAGAAGCATCAGTGTGTGGTTGCATTTTGTGCACCCCCAGCTGGAGGCCGGACCTGCAACCCAGGCATGTGCCCTACACTGGGAATTGAACCGGTGACCCTTTGGTTCGTAGGCCAGTGCTCAATCCACTGAGCTACACCAGCTACCTCTTGGTTCGTAGGCCAGTGCTCAATCCACTGAGCTACACCAGCTACCTCCTTGTTCTTTTAATAACTTAGTTCCTGTCTTTACTCTCACTCTCTACAATACTACTCAGTTATAGTTCTTGGTGATTTCAATACCTATACAGATGATGCTTCTAGTGTTTTGGTCTCTTAGTATGTTGGCTGGACTGAAAGGTTCAATTTTTTCTATTCTGTCTTAGTTACAACTTTGGTCATAACCTTGAACTTGCCATTACCAATAACTCAGTCTCCTCTATGATCTCAAACACCTCATTCTCCAACACTAACCCCTTTTTCCAGCTCAAGAACATTCTCTCCAATGATTCCTTGACCCCCAGGGGGACTTTTGTCCACCGATACCACCTCTTTTTCACATCTCTCACTCCTCAGGTATTCTCTTCTCCTAAAGTAGTTTAAATTACACACTTGCATACAATCTTTACTTCCGTATTCCTCTATTTCTTCATCATACCCAGATGGCTAAGCCACATTTCTCCTTGGTTGTCTAATACCACACGGTGGTACTGTACGTGCAGTTCTACTTCACTCAGACTGCACGGCTTACCCATTCTATTGAGGGGTACTCTAGTTATTCACTATGAAAACACTAATCCAGTAAACATCCTTGTGTGTGTCTCCTTGTGTATACATGCTTCTCTAGGGAGGTAGGCTCTCATACTTATCATTATGGCCTACTAGCAGAGTTTGGTCCAAGCCTCCATCTTTTCTCTTGCCTAGATTACTGCAATAACTTCCTGTTTCTATTGCCTGAGCAATCATGTTAAAACAATCAAGTCATTACATAGCTTCCTACTTCAGACATAAAGCATGTATTCCTCCAGTTAATTATTATAACACTGTAGGTAACTGGTAGTACAAATTATTAATGTGTTGGGAAAAACTGCCCATCAACCAGTGGGACTTCTGGGTCACTACCCTATTTAGCAATTGTGAGCTAGTTCACATTATTCAAAAAACATGCTGTAGCAGACCAGGCTCGTGTGGCTCAGTGGATTGAGTGCCGGCCTGGGAACCAAAGGGGTCACTAGCTCGATTCCCAGTCAAGGCACAAGCCTGGGTTGTGGGCCAGATCCCCAGTAGGGGGCGCGCAAGAAGCAATCACACATTGATGTTTCTCTCCCTCTTTAAAAAAACAAAACAAAAAAACATGCTGTAGCAGGCCCTGGCTGGGTAGCTCAGTTGGTTAGGGCATCATTCCAGTAAGCTAAGGTTGTGGGTTCGATCCCCAGTCAGGGCACAAAACAGCAGCCACCAATGAATACATAAGTGGAACAAACTGATCGATCGATCTCTCTCCCCAAAATCAACTAAAAAGAAAACATGCTACAGCAAAACTGTACTTGAATGCTAGGGCTAGAATAACTACACTTTAAATCACTGTACATAATGAATAATTTTCCTTGCTTCTAAAAGTGTACAAGATTCCAGAACTTCTTACGGAAATATTTTTCAGCTTAAGCACATGTTCAGGTAATTATTTTGTAGCTTTACTACAACTACAATATAAGTCCCAGATTCTAGGCTTCTTCTATTTGTTGTAGTAGCTTCTTAACTGGTCTCTCTGTCTTTAGCCTTCTTCCTTGACATTCTACATACTCAAGTTGTCCAGACTTGTGTCCTGACCTACCATTTCAGGCCCCTACACAGGAACCTGCAATGGCTCCCATAATACCCCCTGACCCCCAATAACAGCTCTTAATACTCTAAAATTGCCTGTTTCCTAGCTTGAACAGTTTGAAGCAAGGACTGCTTCTTCTTAAGATGTATACCCACCAGCAAATAACAGGCACACAAAAAGAATTAAAAGCCCCCTACCAATCCAAAATACAGTACTTTCCATTCCTTCACAATTTCCTCTCACTGTAGCCAGTCAGTCTTCTCAATATACACTTGCTACAACACTCCTAGTTGTCCTAAAGTCCATGCTTACTCTAGCCTCTGAGCCCTTCTTTTACCATCAAAGGTGGCAAATCCCAAATTGCAAAATCACCTTGGGAAAGATTAAAAATAAGCAAACTTCAAATGCCCAAACGTTAATCCCATTACTTAAACTAGTTAACAGAAATGTGTACATGTTAACAGTTCAAAAGTCTAAGTCTCTCCTCTTGAAGAGGATTATGACCTTGGAGATCATGAAATGATTTCTGAACTAAACAGAAAAAGCTAAGACTGATAAATATGACATTATTAAACTTCATGCTTTTAAAAGACATCAAACAAAATGAAAGGGCAGGTCATGGACTAGGAGATTAGTATCTAGAATATAGTACAAAGGAAGATCAGTAAGAAAAAAAAACTACTAAAAAAAGTCAGCTGTACAAGCAGGAAGGTGTTCAATTTCAGTAGGAACATGGAAACTATAATCATAATGAAATATTCTCTTCATACTCATCAGATGGGCAGAAATTAAGATGTCTGGAAATACCAAAAGTTGGCGAGGATACAAAAAGCAATGAATCATATTCCCTAATAAGATTCATTGGAAGTGTAAGTGTAAATTGGAAGTGGTGGAAGTATAAATTGCCACAATCTTTTCAGTGACCAGGTAAGCAAAATCTAGGAACGTTAAAGGTTTACTTAAGTAGCTTTAACTGAAACTTTTGTTTCTGGGATTAGGAGAAATGTTTGTGGGTCCCGACGGGAAACATCCTTATCATAGACATAATGAATGTAAGCTACTGTGAAGGAGAAATGCACACCAGTGCATAAGACATGCACAAGAATGTTCACTGCAGCGCTGCTTTAACAATGAGTAACGGGAACCTTACATGCCCATCAAGAGGATGGATGAACTGTGCTGCCTGTATCAACTTGGATAAAACTCTCAAAAAACAGAAGGGTTCAACAAATAAGTTTCAAAACACAGAACCTAATCCCATAGTGTTTATAGGATACATACATATGTGGCAAAAATACAAACCAGATTTATGATAAATAACAAATTTGGGATAGTGGTGACCTCTGAAGAGGAAGGGACTGGGATCGGGAAAATACAAAAAGGGAGCTTCAGTTGTATTTCTCTATTTCCTTACCGCATGTGAATATATGGGCATGTGTTTCATTTACTATGCCAAAAATATTGCAGAACATATAAAAATAGGTAATAATAAACTTTCCCTTTACCTGACTTAGTGCAGTTTTGCATTTAAACTGTAAATGATCATTATAATTTTTTAAGTTCTTTGAAACTCTTAAGATATATAGCCCAGTTTCCTATTCCTCAGGTTAAAAAAAAAAAAAAAGACTACTGAGGGATGTACTGGTTTTCTAATGCAGCTGTAACCAAGTACCACAAACTGGGTGGTTTAGAATAACAGAAATTAGCCCTGGCTGGTGTAGCTTTGGGGATTGAGTGCCAGCTTGTGAACTGAAAGATCACCAGTTCGATTCCCAGTCAGGGCACCTGCTTGGGTTGAAGGCAGGTCCCCAGTTGGGGTCGTGCAAGAGGCAACCAATTGACGTTTCTCACATCGATGTCTCCCTTTTCCCTCTCTCCAAAAGTAAATTTAAAAATAAAACAAACAGAAATTAACATTGTCTCACAGTTCCAGAGGCCAGAGGATCAGGACCAAGGTGTCAGCAGGCCGATGCTCCCTCTAAAGGTTCTAGGTCTGTTCCAGGCCTTAGTTTCATGGTAGCCTCAGGCATTTCTTGGCTTACAGACCCGTTACTATAGCCTTCCATCTTCACATGACCTTCGCTCTGTTCATATCTGCCCATTTCCAAATTCTCCCTTCTTAGGACACCAGCCAAATGGATTAGGGCCCATCCTAATGATTTCATTTCAATTTGACTACCTCTGTAAAGACCCTATTTCCAAATAAGGTCACATTCTGAGGTACTGGAGTTAGGACTTTTAACATCTTTTGGGGGAGATGAAATTCAACCCACAAATAGGAGGAAAAAAACCTCAGTCTCCCTTCTTCCCATCTCCCACAAACAACTTATAACCATTTTCTTCAGTTCTTCCAGAGATATTGAATCACAAGCACAATACAAATAATCCCACTATAACCTCCAGCCCCAGATCTTCTATATAAATATCCTTGCATCTTGATTTTTTCATTTACTGTATCTTGGAGCTTATTTAGTATTGGTACCTAATTTTTTTAAGGGACAGTTTTCCACTGTACAGAGGTACTGTAAATTGACCCATGCCTAATTATAAACACTGAGGTTGTTTTCAGTCTTTTGCTTTTATAAATAAAATTGCAATTAATATCCTTGCATATACCTTTTCTTAATGTGCAAATTTATCGATGGAATTAATTTGAATGGATTTTCTAGGTCAAAGAATATGTGCCTTTTTAACAAATAGTGTGTCCTTCAGTTTTTATTAAAAACTTTCTTCACTTTTTAATATACAACCCCAATTTAATAAAGTTCTTTTTTAAGATTTGGGGTTGCAGGAGGGAGCTATACATTTTTTTGCAAACCAGCATCCAAGCACCCTTCCTATCTGAGAATCTGGGCAGGGGCAGTGCCCTCCCCCAACAGAAGCTGATCGGGCCAGACACAGTGCCAGCCGGGACTTCGTGGTGACTCAGAGACATGGGGCGACTTAAGAAATGTTTAACAGCAACAGAGGAATCATTACATCTTACATTAACCACTCCTGGTTTCTACCCTTTTTATGAGCTTGGTTTATTTCAGTTTTCCTGTCCATTTGTGAGCTACCAGATAGGCTTCTAGTAAATTTTCTCTGCTTACATTAACCAGGTTTGGATTTATTTACAACCAGAATTTGGACTGATAATTTTGGTCACACTTTTATGAACATAAATTGCTTCACTATCCTCATATTTGCACCTCATATAAAGGATTACTGTATTTTAGATAATGTATATTTGCTTTTCTTCATTATTCTATCAGCTATTTGCTGCTGTTACTTATAATGCCTGACACAACCATTCCTTCCTCCTTTTCTAACCTGCTGCATGCCTAGAGGCTAGATGGTCAGGCACACTGGACCTGTTTGCAGAGCAGGAGAGAGACTTGCAGCACAGGTCTGAGTCCTATGAGAAAAATGCAGACTTCACCACATCTATTTTAATTGCTCGGTGGATTTTTAAATTTCAGCCTTCTCAGATATGATGTAAGCAGTGAGTTACTGTTATTGTAGCTTCTTTCTTTTATAAAAAGTAATTACTACTACTGGTAGTAATTAACATTTACTGACCCTTTTATAGTATAGGGGTGGCCTATGTGTTATATTCCTCTGCTGCTGTCAGACTGAGTATATTAGTGATTCATATAATCTTCAAAATAATAAAAAAAGAAGTCAGAGTTAGTTAACCTGTTTACACTTTTTAAATTGAATTTATTGGGGTGATACTGGCTAATAAAATTATATAGGTTTCAGGTACACGATTCTATAATACATCATCTTTACATTATATCGTGTGTTCACTGCTCCAAGTCTCCTCCATCACCACTTACCCCCCTGTACCCTCTTCTACCTCCCCTCACCCCGCCTTTCCCTCTTGTAGTCACCATGCTGTCACTGTGTCTATGAGGCTTTTCTTTGCTTAATCCCTTCATCTTTTCCACCCAGCCTTCAACCCCCTTCCCCTCTGACAGCTGCCTGTATACGCTTCTATGTAGCCTTCTTATCCCCCGATTACATATCTCTATTTTATCTTCCTAAAATTATACTAAAAACAAAAAATAATTGTTAAAAAAGTGAACAAAAACTATGTTCATTGCTCTCCCAAAAGGTTTTGATTTCTCATCTAAAATTATGAATTCCCCTAAATTACATATTGGTTTTATTTATGTATATGTGAGCAGACAAGAGTGAGATGCTAGCAAAAATGTTCCTGTGCCCTAGTCGGTGTGGCTCAGTTGGTTGGATTGTTGTCCTGTAAACCAAAAGATCACGGGTACGATCCCCAGTCAGGGCACATGCCTGGGTTGCGGGTTCAGTCTCTGGTCAGGGCGCATACAAGAGGCAACCAGTAAGTATTTCTCACGCTGATGTTTCTCTCCCTCTACCTTCCTCTCCCTCTAGAATTAGTAAGCGTGTCCTTGGGTGAGGATGAAAAAAAAAACCAAAAAACAGTAATAAAAAGTTTCTGTTTCAGCTCTGGCAAGGATGACAATAATTCTATTAGAATCCTCATAAGGGACTGGCTTAGAATTAAATTACTATATATTAGCCACAGAAGATAGGTACCAGATGTAGGTTTACCCATTCTACAAATACTTTTAAAATGAAATTTGCATGGGAATTAGCTATATAGTAGTGCTACCATCTGAAATCCTGCAGATAAACCAAATGCTATCTAAATATCTCTTTTAACAATGAATAATCACACTTGTCTTTTTTCTAAAAGTAAAGGACTATATAATATGATCACCTGTGCATAATTTCTCTTTAATACTGGCAAAGATCCTAACAAGATATCAAAATACATAATCTACAAAGATTTAGACAAGCTTAATTTGAAAAGTATCACTATCTGACAAACTAAGCTGAAGGAGGAAGAAACCCACTGGAACCATATTTTAATGAATACATTTTAAAAATGAAAGAATCTAGAGCAGATGACCACTAACCGTAGCCATTAGGGCTATTTTAGACGGCTCACATTGTGGATGGAAAATGTGCCTTTCTTTAAATTTTCTCTATGTCAAGAAACAAAACAATTCTAGCAACTCTAAAATTAAGCTCAAATAGAATCAAGAAATGTTGGCTTGCTGATCACTATGAATTTCACTTTTTAAGTCTGACCTAATATCTTTTTCCCACCTTCTCCTATTTTTTCAAAGCTATGGTTTCAACTGACTAGTGTTATAAAATGTTAAAGCTGAATCTTTGACAGCCATTTAGTCCCCTCCTTTTACAGTTCAGGGAATAGGTCCTGAGAGGTTAAGTATCCTGCCTGCCAAGCCAGGAGATGCTTGGCCTCCTGCATCTCAGCTGAGTACACTATTCACAATACCAGGCTGACCACAGCAGTGCCTACAGGAAACACCGTGCACAGAACCTTCTTGACATTTTGTTGATCTTATCCGAGAATTTTTATGTTTCACTGTAAGTTAGGATTATAAATCTGTAAGCATGGCTTTAAAAAGGAACTCAAACAGAATTTCGAAGAGCAGCCCATGAGAATACCCTGCCTGTTTACTGGAATCAATAAATGCCTAGGATAGAATGAGTGAGGCTGGATTTGTAGCAGAGAAATTTAGGAACTTCCTGTGCTGTCCATTGAAATGTTAACACTGAAAACCCCACAGTAAAGAGATTTGCTTCCTTTCAGCTGCTGGTATAGGATAAGGCTTAAAAATCACAGATCATCATCTCTGTGATGTTAAGCATTACTTCCCTCTCTGTAACTATTCCTCATCTTTAAAGTAGGATAATAACGGCACTTATTCCTCATATGTAGTAATGAATATTATATGCATAACATACATAAAGAACCCGGGAGAGTGGCTGTACAAAGGTCTCAGTAAATTTCAGTGTCCATTCCAAGTGGCCCTTTTACTTGCCTATTATAACAAATTCAGTACCTACCAGATGTTTAGAAAAAGAAAAATTGCTTTTTCCTCAGTCTACCATGCAGGCTGAGGGAAACCAAATGAAAGTGTCGAAAAGAACACTGGGCTCACAGGTGACAAAATTTAGTCACTAATTAGCCAAGTGATTCTGAATAGCTTTTCTCACCTTATTTTAAGGTAATATAATGGTATTGGAATTCAAGTACAAATCTCTAAATATAAGCTGAAAATTTAAAGTTGATAAGGATGCTATAAACAATTACTCCTAATCCACGTGGAAGAAGCAGATATTCCTTAAAATGTGTTAAATCCTTGCCCTACTAAATATTTGCCAGCAACTCTAATGATACATTTTCTTACTCATTTCACGCTCATGTTCTCAATAAGTTGAACAAAAACAAGACCAATAAGATTCTCAGTTTCTGCCAACATTAATTAAAAAAAATTCTCATTAATGGTTTCAGTGAAGAGTACAATAATATAGAAAACCTAGATTTATTTGTTAAGCTATTACAAAGACAAAACAATTGTCATCTGAAGTACAATGCTTTGAGGACTTTATCCCAATTTCATGCGTTCTGTTACAGAAACTGACCTAAGAGTCTAGAAATTAAAGGACATAACCGAAGAGGTTATAACAGGACAGACTGGTAAAACACGGTGAGAGGAACAAAAGCTAGTCAGAAGCAGCACTTGTGTTAGCATGTGTGGCGGGGATGTTTCCAATGAGGCTCCCTTAAGATGCCTGAATGAATTAATCTGGGTCCCAAATCAGTAAAAACAGCCTTACCCCTGTGGAGAAATCAGCAGAGGCCAGGACTCCTCCAAGATCTTTGTGTTTCTTGTTCAGGGGTAAGGTTATTGTTAGGCCCTAACGGGGCATATCTTAGATTCAGCTGCTCCCATCCAGTCTACCAACACCTTCAAGTGCCTGTGCGTTTTCACCGCATGGCCCTGCTAGGTTACGGAAGATGCGTACACTGAAGGTGGATACAGGCCTACTCAGAGGGTACCTAGACACAGGAATTTGGGGGTAAATGATAAACTACAAATACCCTCTTGGTTAAGTTAATCCACCTTTGTGAATAAAGGTCATAGTTTCTTCTGCTGGTGACAACTTCTCTCAGTATACAGTCTGTCTCAAGAAAGAACTGGTTCATCAGGTAAGTTTTGAAGAAGGAAAAATACTTTCATCAACACCCACTCCACAGTGAAAAAGGCACCAAGTTCTCTCCTACAGTTATGAGCAGAATCTGAAAAACAAAAGGTTTACAGTGTTTGTAATAATAATAATAATAGCTATTCTTTATTGCCTGCCTAGTCAAGAGTGCCACCAGACTTAGATATTATTGTATCTCAGTCTTTGCAACAATCCTGTCAGGTATTATCATCATCCCCATCTTCCAGATGAGGAAACCGAGGATTAGAGAAGTTACTGCCCAAAGACGCAGGGCTGTTACCTGGCAGAGCTGCGATCCCATCATGCATGTGCCTTTCCCTTCACCCGATCCCAAGCTCTGAGAGGTCCTAGTGCCATTACCTTGAAATTCTTAATTGTTCCCTAAACACTCTAATTAATCCTTGTTCATGCCTTACAGGTAAATAAAATTTTAAGTGATTAAAAATTTACAGACACTGTTTGGAATTCAGGTCAATTATCCAGATGAAGAACTTGTATAAACTGAATGAGTAACATCTCTCTCCACTCCAGCTGTAGCATAAAATGAACAGAAAACAAAGTGTGTGGCTATTTTATGGTTATTTCACCATAAAATTACATTACAAAGAATCCTCGGAGTTCCTGCCAGGGAACTGCAGTAACATCCCATTTGTGTAACCATTAGTGACAGACCGAATGAGTTTCTCATAATCCTTATTAATAGAGTGGTTGGTGTTCTCTGAATAGTCTTTTTTTAAAGAATATGTGAAAGCCAGAAGATCAAAAAAATCTGTTTTCCAGTTTCAAGATACAAAATAAGTATTACTGAACTGAAAAACCAACATGCCATAAAGAACATGATAAATAAAATGTAAGAAATAAAGGAGGAACACTTAAGTTTCTACCAAAAGATTTCCCATGAAGTAAAATACTGAAGTACTGGCATCTGGAACTATGAGATCTGAACATTAAAGTTAGGAGAGTTCCAGCGATATGAACATAAGTTTTTAAGCTAAGTGCAGAGGAGATAATGTTAATTTTAGACGGTATGACTACCAATGACAGAACTAAATGTTGTAGAAATAAAAATCAAGTATTTAAAGAGATATAAATCACAGAACTCTTTAAGAGATTATTTTCTGATAGTTCAACTGGCAGCACCTGACATAAAAACAGATTCATTATTACACTTCATGGTTAGTATAAGAAACAATGTTATATTCATAATGGCAATAATTTGGAAGGTAAATGGAACTGGGAATAATGGGTCTCAAAACCTAATTAGAATGTGGGACAGTGGTAGAAAAGTCAAGCCAAAATATATAAATCTTGCCATGCTTTAATAAAATAAAGGACCTGGATATAAGTAGCATTCCAAGAATGGAGGAAAGCTGGCATTCAAGAAAATGCTATCAGGTCAGAGGCAGGAGGACAATATAGAGGAGACAGAGGGATAGTAATTTAACAGTGTGAAATCTTATAGCTCATAAAGAAGGGCTGCTAGGATTACTAGTCTTCACTCTGTATGATACGAACGAGTTACATAACCTTTAGTTATTATCTAACATACAGCTGAGACACTCAAGCTGGCAAAGGACAACTGATTTCTCAGTGTAACATGTAGCAAATAAACAGTCAGGGACACACTGCAGGCAAAGCTCAAGAAAAGGTCAGAGGATAGAAAATAGGCAGTAAACTCTTGTATCAGTCAGAAACAGGAAGGAAGCAACTTGGGAAATGATAGCTTTTGGACAACTGTGCATGGACTTGTTCTGCTTTGGTAAATCAGCCTAGAATAAGGTGACAATTATTTTGAGAAGTAAATAAACAGATACAAGATTATGATTAAAGGCTTAAAACTAAATTTGTAATTACTTCTACTTCCTCCCTAATCTGAATAGCAATGAGTTGCAGCATATCTCTGCTTTGAGTTTTCTGATGAACATGTTAAGATTTCAAACATCACAAATGGGAAAAGGTGATTCAAGAGCAGACCAGGACATGATCTCAGGTTTGCAGTTCCCACCTGAGCCAAACAGGGAGAGCTCCGTCTCTGAACAAAGGCTAGTCTCAATCTCCTCAGTTCACTGATGATGTCTGTGTCTTACCTTCCATATGCTCTCAGTGCCTCATGTGTGGTAAGTAAATGTTAATTAACCTGAATATCATCATGTTTGTAGACCCTGATTTCTTAGAGGAAAAAAAACCACATAATTTACAATAATTTCAGAAATGAAAACTAACATTTTTCCAAACTGCTAATTTTATACAGTTCTCCTGAATTACAAATATAAAAATTAATTATTTGACAGGATTTTCATGTTCAGTTAACAAGGGAAAAAAATAGACGACTTACCTCAAAGCAGCATAAAGTCATTTTCAGTGATCAACATCTGCATCCTCAAACTGTCCAGCAACCGTGGGTGTAGTATCTACCTCCATCCCATCTGAAGGAAAAAATGAACCACTGAGCACTAGTCTACAGAACACTTCAGGGAGGAAAAGATTTGGCTTGTATTTCGACCAGAAGGAAGCTAATGCCCCCTGTTGGTAAGAGCTGCTATTTCTTTCTCTTTTGAAAATGCAGCTATCAAGGAACAAATTGAGAAAGAAATATGCTACCTGTGCATTTAGGCCAGGGTAAAATGAGTCTAAGTACATTTACTTCGTAAATTCTCAAGCTCAGCATTAAAATAATACTATGAAGAAACTTGCAAATGCAATATGCATCAATTGTTCACTCACACAGAACTGTGCTAGGGATTTCTGTCTGACTTTTTTTAAGGTATGAAGTCTTATTCTCAGAGAGCTTATGAGGCAATTCAGGAGAAAAGACAATATAGAGCAAGGTTCTTGCTTTTCCTGTTTATCTCATCTTTTTATTTATTTATATTTAGGGTGGGGAGGGAGGGAGGGAGAAAGTGAGGGAGTGAAACATCAATGTGTGGTTACCTCTCAAGCACCCCTTATTGGGGATCTGGCCTGCAACCCAGACATGTGCCCTGACTGGGAATCGAACCAGCAACCCTTTCATTTGCGGGCCAGCACTCAGTCCACTGAGCCACACCAGCCAGGGTTTTTTTGTTGTTTTTTTTTTAATCCTCACCCAACGACTTTTTGTTCATTGCTTTTAGAGAATCACCAATGCAAGAGAGATGCATTGCCTAGTTGCCTCCCACACGCACCTGGGCTGGGGGACTGAACCTGCAACCAACGAACGTACCCTAACCAGTGATCGAGCCTGTGACCCTTCAGTTACGGTACAATGCTCCAACCAACTGAGCCACACTGACCAGGGCTATCTCATCTCATTTTAAAAAGGGGAGGAGGTTAGGACAAGAAAAAAAAAGCCTTCTGGAAAGAGCTGTCTACACCTGCTTTCTCTATTTCCTCAGCTCCCATTTACCCCTCTACTCTTCAGCCCACCACAAACTGGCTTCTGCCTGCAGCCCCTTGGCACACCACCAGGATATCCAGCAGGGCGCAAATATGTAACACATATCTAAAATTAACTCATCATCTTTCCACAAAGAAAATGCTTTTCTTTCCTGTCTTGCTCAAGGATACCTCTTACCTGCCTAATCCAGAAAGCCCCACCACGTTGCTAACTTCTGTTGCTTCTAGCTCTTAAATATCTCCCAAATCTGTTAAGTCTTTTGACATTCACTGCCACTACCTACTTTAGTCCACTAGCTCTCATTGAACGTAAAACTTAAGTTACTTAACAAGGTTCTCTTCTATCCTCCAGTACTCTCCTTTGCAGTTCGTTTTCCAGGTCAAAGCCAGAGAAACACTAACCAAACTAAAATCCTTTCATGGCTTCCCCGACCTAAGCAAAACGCTGAAATTCTTGAACACAGCTTTAAGTGCCTTTAAGATACAACCCAGTTCATTATCTGCTTTATCTGTTGCTAAAACTACCCTTCACACCGAGAGTTCCAGGCATAATTTCAGTTCCCAAAACTGCATGGTCTCTTGTACCTTTGCACATGGCTGATCCCATAACCTGCCTCTCTCTGCAACCTGTATGCAATGCCTCTTCATGAGGGTCACTTTTATTCATTTTTCAGATCCTGGCTTAGATGTCACTTACTCCATGAAGCTTGAGTCTCTCCCTAACTATCCAGGCTGGTTGAAGGGTCCAGCCTCTGATTTCACAGCTACTCAAACTCCCCCTGTATCTCAAATTAACCACAATAAGTTAGGTCATTTTTCTCTTCATTAAAATTGATACAAAGATAGTAACCTCATCTCTCCTGAGCACTGCCATATTCTCTGTACTTGGCCCAGTAACTCAATAAACACTTTGTAACATACACAAACACACAAAGCAATGAAATGCCACTAGCAGATAGTACTTATGTTTAAATGGCAAAAAGACTGAAACTTACTAAAACAGATCTTAGGTGTTCTCACCACACACAGACACATACATACACACAAAAGGTAACTATGGAGAGGAAATTTAATGAACTTGACTATAGCTGTCATTTCATGATGTGTAACAAAACATCATGTTACACACCTTAAATATATGTCATTTTTATTTTAAATTTTTAAAAATAATTTTTTTTTTAAATGCCAGGTCAAACTAAATAGCAAAAAGAGTTGATGTGGGTACTCAGGAGTTTAGAAGATGGGGAATGGTAGAACAGACTGAAGTTTTATATACAGGCGACTCTAAATATGCCAATGAGACTTAGGAATAAAAGTTTAAAAAACAAACCCTCACTTTAGCAAAGCGTTTGAGACCTTAAAACTGTTTGCTACAAAGAATTAAATAAGGAATTTTTACAATTAAAAAAAAACAAAACACAACAACAACCCTTCAATAATGAAAGGCTTTTCAATGGTCCAGGGCACATTCTAGTCAATCTGTAAAAAATGTGTAATAAAAAAATTGTAATTAAAAAAAAGTAACACCTTGCATTCTTTCAGCTAAGAAGCTGGTGGTGCATCAGAAATCATCTGAGCCGTCTCACCCTAAAGTCTGTGGTGGAGGCTCTCCAGCCAAGACCTAAAATGGAGAGAAGACACAAGGAATAACACTGTGACCCAAAAGCTAAACTTTTCTTAATTAAAATATCTGAGCCCTTGCAGGTTTGGCTCAGTTGGTTGGAACACCATCCCATACACCAAAAGGTTGCAGGTTTGATCTCCTATCAGGGAACCTAACTGAGCTGTGGGTTCAATCCCTGGTCAGGGTGTATATGGGAGGCAATCAATCAAGGTTTCTTTCACATCACTGTTTCTCTCTCTCCCTTCCTTTTTCTTCATTCCTCTCTCTAAGATCAATAACCATATTTAAAAAATATTCCAGAACTTTAGGATCCCTAAGTCAATATGTTGTGTATAGGGAGATGTTGATCAGAGCATTATGAAAGAAATTTAAATGTACCAATAAAAGAAAAAGATGGTAGCTCTTTTTAAGAATACTCTGCTTCACTAAAAATTAAAAGCATTAAAATTCTGTAGCAACATAAAATACTAACATATATTAAATATATCTAAAGATGCAAGCAGTGCTTATAACAGTGCATGGTATATTATTTTTTGCATAATAGCTCATTTAATCCTCTTACCATTTGTTAGTTATTTGACACGAAACAAGCCGTGTGACTTTTCTGTACCTGAGTTTCTTCATCTGAAAATGGGGATCATAATAGCATCTGCCACAGAGGGTTCTTGGAAGGATTAAATGAGTAAATATTTGTCATGTGCTAGTATCAGGGGCTAGAACAGAAGAGCACTACCTAAATGTTTTATAGAGAGTAGGCGGAACAAGACTGAAGACACTGGGGCAAAGACAGGGTTGTCTCTTCGAGTCAGAGTGAAGGGTCTGAACTTTACATGGGGAGTAGCAGGCAACCACATGAGGAGACATCCTTATATAAAGGCAACATAGAGTGTTCTCTGAGGATTAATATGACACAGTGAGCTGGAAGAAGGGATGACAAAGGCAAAAACTAACTACTCTAAATCCAGGATGAGGAAAAAAGGGCTTATGTTTGGAGGAAAGCAGCAGTAATAGCAAGGAGACCTAAAAGTCATTTAAAGGAAAATCCACACAACTCAGTATTGGACTAGATAGGGGACTAAATGGTAAAGATTGAATAAAAAGAATACTTCAAGAATCTAACTGAATACTTAGAAAAGGGAACCAGTCTAATAGGGAAAATATTTACAAAGAAGCTTACAAATATGAGACAACCAAAACATAAACATTTAAAACCACTTGTTTAAGGTCCAGATGTTTGTCACAAAAAGAGAACCTAAGTTTCTTGAATGCTGCCTAGCCTTTTAAATCAAATTACTATCCTGGTTTTGCATATAAATCACACAGGAATTCATTTTAAAAATAAAAATGGCAGCATCAATGTGCGTGCACACACATATACACAAAAGTAAAAACAAACAAAAGGACTGGAAAGATGGAACAGAAAGTTAATAGATGTCTTCAATTGGAATTATACTTGATTTTTTCATTTCTTCTTTGCCTATGCCCATTTTAAAAAAACATTTAACTGTGAACATAGACTATTTTTGTAGTTAGGAAAAAAGTTCAAAAAAATTTACACAAGAATTCCCATTCTATGTAATTCTACATTTGCTTCCTACACCATAGATAGTTAATTCTGAGATTTCTCTTAGTTTCTGAAAGAATCTATACATTTACCCTGTTGACTAAGCGAACCTCTGACTGTTCACACTGGAGAGGAAGAAGGGCACTTACCTTCATAATCTCTTATTGAATCTTCTGTCCGCACTCCAGCCATGTTATACTGGCTGCTCACAGACTGAGAAAGCATTCCTTCTAATCTCTCCAATGTGGCCTGGCCTTCGGCTGTCAAATGGGATAATCCTTCTTCATAGGTGTAAAATGTAGGGATGTCCCCCTGCCCTTGTTCTAAACAAAACAAAAATTTTTTTAAGCTATTATAATGTAGTGATGAAAAAAAAAGGATACCCAATAATGCATCTACTAAAGATAGAGTGAAAAAAGGGTCTAGGAAAATACTTTTCAACATTCATTTAACACACATATACAGGCCATCTGTCGAAGTCAGAGATAAAGAAAATGTCCCTATTCTAAGATGATAAGGGATTCCATCAGATAGGGAGTCAGGAAATAGCAATTCCCAAAGAATCAAATGTGCAGGAACAAGAAGGAAAAGAGGGTGTTCCTGAGGCCAGGGGGTCTTATATTATTCCAAGGTGGAAAATTTACAGATAAGTGAAAATTAGTTTGCTATTAATTGGTACTGAAGGTTTTATCCTTATCAAAATACAAGCTTCTGCCCTGCCAGGTAGGTCAGTTGGTCAACCCGATATGCCAAGTTTGCAGGCTTGATCCCTAGCCAGGACACATACAAGAATCAACCAATGAATGCATGAATTACTGAATAACAAATCGATGTCTCTCTCTCTCTCTCTCTCTCTCTCTCTCTCTCTCAAATCAATACATAATAAATAAAATACATGCTCGTTATAAAAAATCAGAAACTCTGGAAAATATAAAGAGGACTTTAAAAAAATCATCCAAAAATCTCAGCTGAGAACCTATTTAAATATATAAAAGAAAATGCCAGAAATGAGTCTGTCTCGGGCCCAGATGTGGACACCCATGGAGGAAAGGGCTTTGAGAGCCAGACCAGCGCAGAGGAAATCATGGGGAAAAGAAAAGAGAACAGCAGGCACCTCGAGTTGCAAGGCTCTACCAGGCTACTGCCTGCATTCTGGTCTGGGGAAGCAAGGGGAAATACTCTTAGGTAAACAAGGTCTGGTTCTGGAAAAAAGAAATAAATTTTGCAATGAGACAGCTAAAGGAATGTGTTAAATAAAGACGCAGATGATACAGGTATTAAGTAATAAAGGGAGAAGGCTTGTTCCCTGGTAGCGGCTATATCAACTTAAAAGACTCGCCTGACTACACACTTTCCTATCTGCCATTTTCTTTCCTTCTATTTATCTATCCACTTTCTCCACACCATCTCAATAATTTCTATTGTTTACCATCAAGCTTGGAGAGCCTACAAAATTTTTCCAATTTGGCTTAGACATGAATTGTGCCATTCACTTTTATTAATAATCGTATTATATGGGTACTTATTAGAGATATAAATATATATTAATCCCAACCCCTCAGTACAAATAAATGCTTAAAATGAGACACACAAAAACACTTTTAAAAATTCTGTTTCACTAACCATGTGCTTCCACATCATATTCTTCTCCATCGTAATCATCTGAATCCTCATCCTCAGGATCTGGATGCAAAGCCTGGCATTCACACATTGCAGTGAACATTGCCTCCACTGAACAAGGAAATTAAGCTGTAATTAATATTTCTTTCTGGTCAATGTGCATAAAAATCTAACCAAATAACCATGATGCAAACATCATGGGTACATGAGAGGTATACTAGGGTCACAATATTCACAAAACCTGCTGAATCCCAAGGAGAATCAGTCTTGAAAAGTGCCTGATGGCAAGGTCAAGTCAAAAAACAGTTAAGTTCATTTCAAGATATTACTGAGATCTCTTCACGCGGGATTTTCTGAGAAAGAGTCAGAGAGTTCTGGTCAGACTGCCAGTGTCTGAGTGAAGCCCCGTGCAGCTAACAGGGCTCTTTCCAGTTATTCTGACATCTTCCACTTTGGAACTGCCATGGCTCCTCTGCCCTGTATCTGGTGAGATTCACAGTCAACAGCATCAAGGCAATAAAAGTAACCAGATCCCTCCATTCATACACCACACCAAGGAACACAGTGTCTACTATAGATCCACATCTTTGATATTAATAGGTATCTTGTCCTCAGTGATAGTACAGAAGCTAAAACAAAGAAAACGCAGACCAGAGGTAATGAGGATAAAAGTAAAATGTGTGTGTGTCATGCTCTCCCTCGCGGGAGCACGCCTGTGTCTTTCCAATCCCCTTCTTTTCCCCCCACAGGCGCGCATCTCTAAACTCTAAAAGACCCCATGAGACTTGCAACCAGGGGAGCAATGGGCAGGGCAGCTCATCCTGGGCGAAGCCCCTGAGCCTTTCCCCAAGGCCCCCTTTTGTCTAACTTCTCAGCGAGCCAAAGCAGTCCCACCTGGGCTCTCCTGTTGCTTCTTCTATCCTAAGTCCTTTCTTATTTCACTGTCCCCAGTTTTATTAATGTACTCTCAAAAAAGAAAAAGTATTTGTGTCAACAGGGGGAATACCCGGTACATAAGGGGAAAGAATCAATTCTATAGTACACTCACATGCTGATTTATCACTAGGCACAAATCTAAATTCAGCAATAGGTTCAATATCGTCATCACTGTCTTCCTCTTCTTCATCAGCAACAGATTCTTTTGACTCTTCTAGAAAGGAAATAAAAGTAACTTTTTCACCATGTCATTTTGAAGAAAAAGCTTGAAAGAATCTTTTTTTTTTCTTTAGATTTTATTTTATTTTTAGACACAGGGGAAAAGAAGGAGAAAGAGTGAGAGAAACATCAATGTGTGGTTGCCTCTTGCGTACCCCCTACAGAGGACCTGGCCTGCAACCCAGGCATGTGTCCAACTGGGAACTGAACTGACGACCTTTAGGTTTGCACAAAGGCCAGAGCTCAATCCACTGAGCCACACCAGCCAGGGCTAAAAAACAACAACAACAACAAAAAACGCTTAAAAGAATTTCTTAAAGAATGTTTATTGATAGAACTAAATATTGCAATCCAATTTTTACTTTAAATTACAAAAACACGGTTACTTCAGGGCTAAAAAAAATTTGGATAGCCTCTCTGATCTAGTCACATTGTACTTCACTGAACCCTAGGGATTCTAAGCCCCCTCAGAGTCGTGGAGTGGTGAGGAAACCCAAACTGTCAGGCCTCCAGTGAGTATAGTTCTAACATCATGTGCTTCTTCAACCTTTCACTTTGAAACTAAGGGTACAGCAGCAGCTTATAAAACCACTGATGTGATTCATCACCAACAACGTACAAATGAGAAACCAAGGCCCATAAAAGTTAACTGACCCAACAGATAAATTAACAAAGTCTATAAGCAAGAAAAAATAGAAATGTTCAATAAAGAAAACATGCACCTGTTGTTGGCAGAAGTGGAAATTGCTATAGCCACTCTGGAGGTGCTATTACCCAGCAATTCCTCATTTAAGGACATATTATATACACAAGGAGTTTGTACACAAATGGTTAGACGTACTGTATTTTCTAATGAAAGTATAAAAAATATTGATCAAAAAAATTGTTATATTATAACCTGATCATACATTTTATAGATAGCAGTTAAAAATGAATGTGATTTATATGTATCTAAACAGATTTAAAAATATAATCATCCAATGTTATTATATTATTAAATGCAATATACTTGTCCTCCATAAACAAATTAAAACAATACAAAATATTGGAGAATTTTAAATAATTCTGAATAGTTTAACATATTATAGTACTACCAAACATTTTCAATGCGTTTAAAAAAAATGATATACTGTGATTACTATTCTATAACTGAATGAACTTATAAAAATAATACATGCTGGTATAAAAATAACTGAAAAGAGTCTAGATGGACTCAAAGGAAAAGTAAGTCCCTACTACTCTAGTTCCCTCCCTGGAAATAACCACCATTACGTTTCTTTCATACATATCCTTAGTAATCTGCCTTAGGGCAAGAAATAGAAATGTAATGAAGTATCTTTGCAATTAAGGAAAAAAAATGACCATGACCCACACTCATCACCTCATCCTAGATCACACTAGTGGCTGTTATACTTTCAATCTTTTTAAATCTTTGTAAATTTTCAACAGTGAGAATTAATTTATAGTTATTTAAAAAATAATCTAATGTTGCCCTGGCCATGTAGCTCAGTTGATTAGTGCATCATCCCGATACATCAAGTTTGTGGGTTTGATCCCACGCACAAGAAACAACCAATGGTGCATATATAAGTGGAATGAGTTGGTGTTTCTCTCTCAAATCAATAAATAAAAATTTTTAATAATCTAATGTTCTTAACAATAAGATGATGGCTCATTTTAAAGAGGTTTATGGAGGTAAGCCAAAGAGAAGAGTCTGGAGCTTGGAGAATCAGGATGAAAGGAAGAAAATCCGGGAAAAAAGGATTCAAGTATGTGTCATTTATGAGAATAGTAGAGTTTTAGGAAAAAAAACAACTGGACAATCACTGAAATAAATATAATCCAAGTAAGACAGAAAAGTCCTACTTATATTACTTAGAAAGGATTAATCATAATCCCATCAATTTCAAGAAAGCGGCCCTGCCCTGAGCTGTCTAAACCGGCCTGCTGAGTGCGGAGTGACTGGATTAACAGCTGAAGGAGACAGCCACAGACCACAGATTCCTGGAAGTCTCGAACTGACCGCCTAAGGTCAGACAGGGACAACATCTGACATCATTAGAGGCAGATGCAGAAAGAAAAAACAGCGGTATCCTACCAGAGAAGTTCACACCACAAAGTCAGGAAGTCAAGACATATCAATTGAAGAAGCAGAAGCAAAAAAGAAGAGTCTCACATATAATGGGAAGACAAAGAAACACCCCCCAGTCGAAGGCAAAGAAGGAATCCCCAGAAAGAGAACTAAATGAAATAGAGGCAAGGAAACTATCAGATATTGAGTTCAAAACAATGGTTCTAAGGAAGCTCAATGAGCTCAGAGAGAATTACAAAAAACTACAGGGAAACTACGAGGAACTTAACTGCAAACTATATCAGTATGAAAAAGGACATAGAAACTATCAATAAGAGACAAGAGGAAATGAAGAATACAATTTCTGAATTGAAGAACACAGTAGAAGGCATCAAAAGCAGGCTCGATTAAGCCGAGGATTGAATCAGCAAGCTGGAGGACATGGTAGGAAAAAAGCTCCGAGAAAGAGCAAGAAAATGAAAAAAGACTCAAAAAGAATGAAGAGGTGTTGAGGGAAATGCAGGACAACCTGAAACGTAATAATATCCGTATAATAGGGATAACAGAAGAAGAGGAGGAGCAAGGTGTAGAGAACCTGTTTGAAAAAGTAATGATGGAAAACTTCCCTCATTGGAGGAGGGAAAAAGTTACACAAGTCCAGGAAGCACAGAGGGTCCCATTCAAGAGGAACCCAATGAGGCCCACTCCAAGACACATCATCATTAAAATGGCAAATGTCAAAGACAAGCAGAGAATCCTAAAGGCAGCGTGGGAGAAATAGGTAGTAACATACAAGGGAGCCCCGGTACAGCTAGCAGCTGACTTCTCAACAGCAACACTACAAGCCAGAAGGGAGTGGCAAGAAATATTCCAAGTCATGAAAAGCAAAGGCCCGCAACCAAGACTACTCTGCCCAGCAAGACTCTCAATTAAAATCGAAGGCGAAATAAGGAGTTTCCCAGACAAAGGGGGGGAAACTGAGACAACTGTAATAGAACATGATTTAAAAATTAAAAAAAATAAAGTAAAAAAAAATTTCAAGAAAGTAATCATATTATAGAGCAAACATTTAAAATCCCCATTCCAAACCTACTGAATCCTTACTTCCTAGTTTGAGACTTTCAACATTACCATTTTTAGTACGTGCCCCAGTTGTTTCTAATGTTATTTAAGAACTAAAGATTACTATAATCCCTTATGTTTCTAGATGAAATTGGGGTGCAGAGAGATGAAAATGACTTGCCTACCAAGTTAATGACAGACTTCTTCAGAGTGTTTTTCTTTTTACCTTGTTTTAGTCAAGCTAGGTCATCTGAACCCTACCCCTCTATCCTTATTTTTTACCTTTGCCCAATGACAGTATTCTGCACTATTTAAGGGCATTTCATATCAGCATTTGGAACTGAATCACAAGGGTACCCACCCCTAAGGTTTTGCATTTCTATGAATGAATAAATGCTTTAAACTAGACATGATATATAATACTCCTGGTTATGAAATTATAGTTGCATTTACTTAGATGGAAAGTAAACTTTGTGTCCCATACCTTATTTGGAAGTTTTCTACAACTCAAGGTCAAAAGCTTTTACTTTTCCTTACCCTCTCATTTCAATTGGACTAGATTTTTATCTATCTTTGGATCCTTTCCAATGGCAAGAGTTTGAAATCGTATAACAATAATATTTTCAGATAGCTGAACCAGTCAGCACTTAATGAAGCAGAACTTGCCAAAAGCCCTAAAAAGTACTAAATAATTAGTGTCCCACTGAACATAAGTGGTCATCTTATATCTGAAATTATATTAAAGCCCTTAACTGAAGAAGCAATAGCTCAACACGCAAACTTACGTCATTGCCTCTTATACACATTTCAAGGAAAGGAATCCATTTTTCAAGAGCAAGTTTACTAAAGGTATAACATATGTTCTTCAATCCCAAAGTTCAGTACTTCTACAAAAGATGAACATACTAAACTAACACAATATAGTGTATCAACTTCTTAGCTTTTACACTGTGCCTAACTTAAACTCATTCAGAATTCTTACAACCCACAGTCAACAACTTATAAAATGGGTTTTTTTAATCTTTCTTACTCCATCCTTCATTAACCGCACTAGATTTTTATGAAACCTTGACAGTTGTCTCCAACAGTAAAACCTGGGACTCCTGTATTCCATGGTTTCTCAACCTTGGCACTACTGACATTTGACCTGGATAATTCTTTGTTGTGGAAGGCTGTCGCCTGCATTGTAGGATGTTTAGTAGCATCCCCACCCCAGTCATGGCAATCAAAATGGCACCGCCAAGTGTAGAGAGAGGGCAACATCATCCTCCACTGATAACAGAACAAAACAAAACAAATCAGGTTCTATCCTAAACTCTTAGAAGCACAAAATACACTGACCCAAGCTTGTAAGGGAGCCAAATATAAATGCCTTCACAAAGAGAAAGAAAAGAAACAGTTAACCTCAAGAGAAGTAATTAGAAATATAAATCCATAATAATTGAATCATTCTAAGTGCAAATACATAGAAAATAAAAGGCAGTGTCCAAATAATTTTACTGTGCTTAAATTTCACTCAACAAACTATTATCCAAAATAAGTCCATAGCTTAACATTACATTGATTATGATCAAAGACTGCTTTTTAAAATAATAATATGCTGTCAAAGGCAGCTCAAGATTAAATTACCATACTTACCTCCAAATTTGGCATTCACCATAACATACAAATGCTCTCGTGGATAGGCATTTAGGTCCCTTGACACTGCATGCAAACTAATGGTGGGGTATTCCAGTGAGAATCCCAATCCAGAGCCATCTAACCAAGACAGGCGGCTGAAAAATATGTTTTAAGTGGATTAGTTCAAGCAATTAAATCCTAACTTAACTTTCTAAAGTTTACAAAGGTTCAGCTTGGACACTTTCATGCATAATTATAAATTATATGAATACTCTCAAGCTTGCTGTTTAGAAATATTCCTAAAATCAAAAAATTCACCTGCAGGAACTGATTTTCTTTAAGACCAATTCTGTTATGGTCTCTTTTTTCACCAGCTAAAAGTTTAAATAGATTTGAAATATAAGTTTTCTTAATTCACATGTGTGTTTCTATGCCCTTTATGCTTGCTCTTACTTGGAAAGTCTACAGGCATCTCCTTTGCTTTTGCAAATCTTCTTCATATGGTTAAATCCCAGCTCCTCCTTGAGCCTTCCGTCCAATTACTTGAATTCATGATTTCTTCTTTTTCTACCTTGCACTTATGCTCAGTAACGTACCACTTATCGTTTAACGTTATAATAAATCAGATATGTACTCTGATAGAAAGTGAGCTACCTGACAGGAGAAACTGTCATATTCTTTACTTAACATTCTTCAAAACTACTACAATAGTGCTCAGCATGAAAGTATGCAATGAATGCTTGGGAATCACTCATTTTTCCACTAATCCTATATTAAATCACTCACACATGAAATGGCTGTAATCGCACTTACTGCAAGTTATAAAATAATTATCACACTAAAGACAGACTTTATGAAGACTTTCATTTATTCTGCAGCTTCAGGAGAAAGCCACAGATAAGCATGGTCTAGTTTTAAGGAAGCTCAAAAGTGGTCAAATGCAAGTATTTTATAGGTGTAGAAAGGAAACATGTCAACCAAAATTAGTATGTGAAGTTTTGAGTAAGGGTTGGCTAATTTTTTGGTAATACCTCACCCATCTGGAGCTGCACCACTTAGCAAGGGAAAAAAAGTAGCAAAAATGTCCTTAAGAAACAACAAAAAAAATTAATGTAATAAAAGCTAATGAAATACAGTGGTTACAAAGGGCTGGAGCAAAACAGAGAGTGACTGCTAATGAGTGCTGATTTCTCTTGGGGCCAATGAAAATATTCTAAAATTGATTGTGGTGATGGTTGCCCAACTCTGTAAATAGACTAAAAACCACTGAATTATGTACATTTTAAATGGGTGAATTGTATGTTACATGATTTACAGTATTTCAATAAAGCTGTTACTTAAAAAAGAAAAGTTAATATAACCCCCACAATATTCTATTTTCTATACAATTTTAACAACTCTGATTGTCTAATTTGTAACCAAGCAAAAACAAACACAGTAAGAGGATCTAGGACTCCCTCAGGCAGAACAATGAAAGCGCAGCAGTTAGCCCATTCATATACAATATAAGGGGGGCATGAACTCACACTTTAGTCCCCCTAAAGGAAATCAATGCCTAACAGCCTAATATAAGTGTATAATACATGATGATCCTTTCTTATTGAAAACTAAGGAAGAATTAGATTGTGGTGAAAATTGTTAACTTTGTAAGTATACTAAAATGTATTGAATTGAATACTTAAAAAAGCAAAACCAAAAAATACATATTATCATTTGGAAAAACTTTCACTGAACATGCTTATTTAAAAAAGAAAACCTAGGAGGCTTAAACTGATAAATCTTAGGAGCTTAAGAGTCCTGGCTGGTGTGGCCCAGTGGACTGAGCACTGGCCTGAGAAGGGTCACTGGTTCTATTCCCAGCCAGGGCACACGCCTGGGTTGTAGGTCGGGTCCCCACAGTAGCGGGGCACATGAGAGGCAACCACACGTTGATATTTCTTTCCCTCTCTCTCTCCCTTCCCCTCTCTCTAAAACTAAGATCTTTTTTTTAAAAAAAAGGAAAAAAGTCTAGAGTGGTAAGAGCTCTAGAAGTGATTTTGCAGAATGACTCATCCCATTAGTCCCAAGGAAACAGATTTTATTATTGCAAATAGATTGTGTATGCAGCAAAAAAAAAAAAAAAAAAAAAAAAAAAAAAAAAAAAAGGATTGTGTATGCAGTATGTGTGTTTCCTGTCCATTGCTCTCATTTTAACGTGGAGATGAAACAGTGGTTATGTGACATCGAGTACAGCTAGACCCTTACTAAAAGTATTACTAAGTAAATAAACTCCTTTTTCTCACCTCAAAACTTCCCTGGCATTATTACAATTCGGATAGGGGTATTCCAAGTTTGGGTGTCCAAAATTTCAAATATCCAGAGCCACAAAATATTCTTAAATGACTCAGGTGATGGAAAAACTGAAATATAAACATATTCAGTGCCTATCAAATTCTGGTCTTTACTTAAAAAGCATAGCATAATTGCTCCAGTTCCTGTCTTGACTGGTGTGGCTCAGTTGGTTGGGAGTCATAGAGCAAAGTGAAAGGTCTCCAGTTCAATTCCTGGTCAGGGCACATACATGGATTGCGGTTTCTGTCCAGTCGGGGTGCGTAGGAGAAGCAACTGATTGATGTTTCTCTCTCACACTGATGCTTCTCTCTCACATCAATGGTTCTTTCCCTCTCTTTCTCTCTCCCTTCCCTCTCTCTAAAAATAAATAAAATTGTTTTAAAAATAAATTGCTCCAGTTCCCTACTGCTGGCGGGACACAAATGCTGCCTGAGCATAGCATTTCCTATGGAGCGCTCATATTCTTATATATGGACATGGATTAACACTCTACAAAACAGAAGCAAGTTCCACTTAAAGGCAACATTTACTGTGTAATTAAGTTCTGATTTTTATTTTATTTTTATATATTCTAGAAGAAATACCCTCCAAAAAACCAAAAAGTCAAATTAATCGGTCCCAAAGAAACCAAGAGTCACAAAAGAAAAAAACAAGAATTAGAAAGCCAGTAAACATGCAGAGGAACGTTTTACTAATTTCCAATGTGTTTGCACAGTATGATCAGTGTCCTTTATTCCTGGCATAGTAATTTGGGTTGGTTTAATTATCTGGTTTTAAATTAATTTTGAGTAAGAAAACACATTCCTTTTAAATTTAAACTACCTATTTTTCATTTAATTACCTATTTATTTTATCTGTTTCAAGTGACCTATTTTGAATAATTCAAGCTTCTGTTCCCTTTCTTATTTCTGATAAAAAATCAACTTCCTATAGAAACTAAGCTTTGTTTGAAAATAAGCCTGGGAATTCTAAATTTCTCAATATATATATATATATCTGAGAAACTATCTACCTAAAACCAAATCAGACCCTGTCCTTTTTGCCTAAATACCCAAAGCAGTTTCCCAAAAGCCTAACGGCTATAAGCCAAGCTCATGAACATGGTTCTCTTCTTCTCCAGTTTTTATTATTTTTACACTCTTTCTCCCTCATTTCCTCAGATGAACTGCTAGACAGTGTGTGCGTACTGTATGTATGCATACATGTGTATGTATTTTTAGTATACATATACACACATATATAAAATACATATACATACACATATAGATAGATCCCATATTGGTCACAATACTGTTTCTCACCCTTGCCTCTCAGCATCCAGTTTCTTCTAATTAGAACATTTCCTCTTATCCTTCCCATTCCCCTGGCTAACTATTAATCCTCATCCTCATTTGTCACATGCTCTAGAAAGCCATTCCCGTTTGTTGAGAGCTTGATTCTATCAAGACTTGGAAATGCTAGGTAGGAAAGAACAAAAAGATAAAAGAGAGTAACATAGAGTAAAGAGGGAGGAACAGAGGTGTCCACGGCACTGGTAATGTTCTATTCTTAACCTCTATGGTGCATGTACAGGTGTCAGTTTAATTACAATTTTTTAAACCATAAATATATAACTTACATTCTTTTTTGCATGTGTATTTTACAAAATTTTTTTTTAAAAAAAAAGGTAAAAGAAATGTCAGTAAAAGCTGAAATAAATTTAACAGATAAGAATTTAGGAAGAGTTTGTACTTCCTGTGATAACTGTATTGTGGTTGTATAGGACGTCCTTGTTATTGGGAGATAATGCTGAAGTATTTACAGGTAAAGTCACAACATGTCTGCAACTCTCAAACAGCTCAAAAAAAGACACTCGAGCATGGCAAAACGGTAACAACTGATAAATGTTGGTGAAGGACCCATGGATATTAACTGAAAACATTTGTAAGCTTTCTTTAGGATTGAAATTTTTCAAAATGAAAAAACAAGTGTAGAACCTTCCCCCCAGAGAAGGTTATGTTATAGAAAAAGCCAATATCCACAGAAAGCATAGGAAGAAAAAGAATAATGTAGGTGTTATAAATATGTCTGTGCTCCACTTTCCACCACTGAAAAGAAACTGTCTCCGGATGACTAAAGATCTCCTTTGGGAATACCCAACAGATGCTTTTCAGATTTTACTTTTTACTCTTCCTCCCTCTTCCCAAGTCTCTTCTTCCATGACCTACCTCTTAATGAAGATGTGTCCCCAATTTATCCTTGGCCCTCTTCTCTTTTGGGGTAATTAATCTATTTCCATGAGCATATGCTAGCACTTAAACTAATCATTTTCAAATCTCTGCCTTGAATACCACACACATACATACGTCCAACTCATCCCCACTATCCAACCCAAACTCATTACGTACAGCTCACCCTACACTTGCTTTTGCTCTCACCCATATTTCCTATCTCAGTGACCAGCCAAAAGCCTAAGCATTGTTCAATGTCTAAATTTCCCCCTAATCAGCAATTTTCAACCTTTCTCATCTCATGGCACACATGAACTAATTATTAAAATTCTCCGGCACATGAAAAAAGGTATTATATTTTGCTGATCTGTCAAAAAAAAGTAAGTATAATTTTGATTCATTCAACAGACAGCTACTGCTGTGTTGGCTGATGTCATTTTTAAATTCGACAATCTAAGGGTAAAGAAGTCAGTGCCCCTAACTAAATAGTCAGGTATTGCATATTTTAAAAACTCTTTAACAGCACAACGGTTGAAAATTGCTGCTGTAAACCAAGGGTGATCTACATTTTTTGTATACTTCCTGGTGGGCAGAATTTTGGTCCCCATGACCTTCATCCCTGGGAGTCAAGACTGTGAATATGTTATGTTACCTGGCAAATGGGATTTTGTTGATGTAATTAAGGTCACAATAAATAGGCAGGTTATTCTAGATTATCTGTGTGGGTGCAATGTAATCACATGAGCTCCTAAAAGCAGAAAATTCTCTCTGGCTGTATCCCAAAGTGATGCAGCAGGGGGAAAAGTCAGAGAAATGTAAAGGGCAGTAAGGATTCAACGCGTCATTGTTGGCTTGGTGATGAATGGAACCGTATGTCAAGGAAATAAGGACCTGTTCTACAATCGCAGTATTTAAGATATGTCTGCCCGACTGTGAAAGTGCTCCAGACGGCCAAATAAAAGAGCTATTCCTTTAGGAATGGAAATGGGAATCAGAAATGTGAAATGAAGAATCAGGTCCCTCAGGTTATGACCCCGCCCATACCTACATTAAAAAATCTGCAGTGCGTATGAACCGAACTTTCAAAATCCTCCACAATCTGCTCTAAACCTGCATGTCTTGCCCAGGACAACATCTACACCTGTTCATCGGAAAAGGCAGGCAAGGCACATCGACGAGTCTAGCTCAGGGTCTGAAAACTCAAAACCTTAAAACGAGACCTTGAGTTAAGGGCTACGCATGCACCAGACCTCCGGTAAAAAGACGAGTAAAAAGGCATAATCAATGAGAACTCCACCTAAAGAAGACACAAAAGGAAGCTCTGGAGAAGGCAGAGAAGCCACAAGAACAATCGAGTTTCTTTCCCAACAGAGGCATTCCCGAGGCGACACCGAGCACGCGCGCCCGCTCCCAGCAGCCCCCGTGGTCGCGGTCTCGTCCCCGCTCCTCTGCACCAGGCGGCGCGCAGAGGCAGCACCCGGGAACATGGACCTACCTCTCAGCGATGTAAAGAGTGCCGGTGCCAAGGCCCTTCCCGTTCAGCACAGCCTCTGTATCTGGCTGCTGCTGCCTAAGTCCCTCAGCCGACCCCGGGGGCGGGAAACTTTTGAGGAAGCTCATTGCAGTAGCGACGGCCGAGACAATTCAAGAGAACCGAAGCCCAGCAAAAACCCAGCTCGCCGCGTCCCGCCCCGGAAGTGAAACAACTACCCCGGAAGAGCAGCTTAGTTTGCCCCGGAATTTGGGGACCATTCACAATAGAGATGAGACGTCCTAGAGGTACCTCATGAAGGCCTAAGGAAGCTTAAGGAGACCTGGCTGAGTTTTTCACATTGGTCCTCTTACCCCTCTCCCTAGCCATTTCTAACACTTCAGGTTTGGAATATCGGAGGGTTGTTATCCTACGTCACAGCACCCCTGTGAGAGAAAGCACAGGAAATTATAAATTTACTTTTCTACAAAAAGGGAAACGGAATCCTGAGACACGGAGTCCCTTGTCTGAGGATGCACGGGAATTAGAGACCGCACTGATATAGAGGTCAGAGGTCTCCTAATTGGGTTCAAGGCTCTTCTCATTTGAACACGCCTACTCTCGGACTGTTCACTTCTGTACTGTCGTGCCCCAGACAGCAGTCTGGGTCTTGCCGTAGTGCACGAGCCATGTATTTCCATGTCTCAAGCAGGGAGATAAACCCAAAGAGGTAATGAACTCTGGGCGAAGAGCTGGATATGTCTGTAAGGAGATGAAGCTTTATTCCTTTGGTAGGCACTGAAAAACAAAGTAATAAGAGCAATAAAAACTCTAAGTGTAAGAAATAAGAAGAAAAAAAACCCCCAACCCTTAGGGATCATAGTGGTAGCTATTATTGATACTATTATAGCTAATAATTGGCGTGGTGCGCCAGGCATTGTTCTAGGCTATCAGTATTATTTCTTCCTCTTTATGATAACCATTTGAAAAAGTTGTTATTATTGTCCTGGCTTTACAGAGGAGAGGCCTGAGACATTACATTCAAGAGCAAGAGTTTAGTGGAAGACCTAGTGGAGACCCATGAGAGACCTAGTGGAATTCAAGTCAGTCAGTCTCCTGGTTACTTCCTCACCTGTAAAATCAGTATGATTATATCTCTGCTGTTGCACTTGTGCCTGGAGGATAGGACATCTGCAGTTTTATTTCTATCTTCTGAATAGAGGAATTGTAATTTTTTTTAATTTTTAAAAAATCATTAACTGAGGATTTTTTTTTTTTCACTGCTCTAGAGAGAGAAGGGAGAGAGGAAGAGAGAAACATCAATGAGCGAGAGAAGCATCAATTAGCTGCCTCCTGTTAGCACCTGACCAAAGAATCAGAGAATGAACCAGCAGCCTAGGTATGTGCCCTGACCGAAATGGAACCTACAACCTTTCGGTTATGGGACGACCTCCAACCAACTGAGCCACACCAGACATGGCAAGAATATAAAATTTTAAAATTGAGATTAGTTCGTTAGTAGTGAGACTGGAGAAGGGGTACTCTGATCAGGAAGAGTATTAGGAAGTTGTTGCCATAGTATACAGGTGAGAGAGTGGCAGCAAGGATGGAAACGTGGACAGATTCTGAAGTTACCCAAAGGTAAAATCGTCAACCTGGGGAGAGATTAGAGGAAAGATGGTGTTGATGGTGAAGATCAGGATGGATGAAGAAGGGAGAAAGAAGTCAAGGATTATTCCTTAATTTCCAACTTCAGTGATGGAGTGGATGCTGTCTCATTTTTCCAAGATGGAGAATTCAGGTGGAAGAGTAGTATTCAAAAGTAGCTAACAAATCGAATATGGGGAATGCTCATTTGAAGGTTCCCATGGGACATCTATATGGGGTTGGCTATTTAGTAAAACAGCCAATGCTTTGCTCAGGAACAGAATCCCCTAAACAACACGGGGAAAATTGGCTAAAACCTGTATAACAGATAACAAAAGTCAAAAACAGTTTGTGCTCACCCTGCTGTATGAAGTTTTACTGGGGATAATTTTGCTCTAAGGCCAAGGGCCCATGGAGATGGACTGTGCAGAAAAGTTATAGTAGAGCTGAGAATGCTTATCCTTAGAAAGGCCTGCTGATAAAGTTGGCCCTTTACTACTTACTGCCTGGAACTTAGATTTTGAGAAGATTCCCACCATATGCAAAAAAATGAAGATTTTTGCATATGATCTTAGCTGGGTGGCTTATTATGCCTAAATTGTTTGGGGAAATATGGTTTATGCTAAACACCTGCTTTCCTTCTGGGGATCTGCAATTTTGGTATGTGCTACGCAAGATGGCTCTTGCGTGGTCAGCTGCCAGTAAAACACTGGGCACTAAGTCTCTAATGAACTTCCAAGGTAGGTAATGTTTCACAGGTGTTAACTCATTGTTGGGGGGAATTAAGTGCATCCTGGGTGACTCCACTGGGAAAAGACCCTTGGAGGCCTATACCCACTTACTTCTGGGTTTTGCACCTATTATTTCCCTTTGCTGATTTTGCTTTGTATCCTATCACAGTAAAAAATCATAACTGTGAGTACAACTGTATGCTGAGTCCTATGAGTTCTCCTAATGAATCACTGATCTTCGGGGTGGCCTTGGGAATCTCCCAACACAATGACCAAGTGGGATTTATCGCAAGAATGGAAGGTTGGTTTAACATGAAAATCAATCAATATAATACACCATACTAATAAAGCAAGAAAACCACATAATCTGATCTCAACAAATACAAAAACTAGAAGTGGAAAGGAGCTTCCTCAAACTGGTAAGAAAAATCTATGAAATACTATACTGTCAGCTAATATCGTACTAAATTGTAAGACTGCTTTCCTGCTAAGATCAGGAAAAAGACAAGAATGTCCATTCTGGACACTTCTATTCAATATTGCGTTAGGGATTATAGCCAGGCAATTGGGCAAGAAAAAGAAATAAAAGGAATCTACCTCTATTCACAGATAACATAATGTTGTATTTATAAAATCCTAAGGAATCCACCCACATTCCTTTGATATTATGCTTTCAATTATTTTGGGTATTTACCCGGATTGAGGTTGCTGGCCATTTGGTAAGTCTATTCTTAATTTTTTGATGAACCACCAAACTCTTCCATAGTGGGGGCACCATTTTACATTCCCAGCAACTGCACAATGGTCCCCATTCTGCACATTCTCACCAACACTTGCTATTTTCTTTTTTTATAGTATCTGTGTTAATGGGTATGATGTGATTACCTCATTTTTTATTTTGATTTCTCCAATGATTAATAATGTTAAGCATTTTTAATTGGTTCTTGGCCATTTGTGTATCATTGGAGAAATGTAAAATCAGATTGTTTATTGTTGAGTTGTAGAAGTTCTCTATATATTCTGGATATTAACCCCTTAACAGTTAAACATGCATGTTTTCTCCCATTCCATGGGGGTTCCTTTTGACACTGTTGTGTCTTTGCAGTTTTTCATTTTGATGTACAATAGTAAAATTTATCTTTTTCCTTTGTTGCCTGTGCTTTTGGTGTTGTATCTAAGAAATCATTGCCAAATCCAATGTCATGAAATTTTCTTTTCTTCTAAATGTTTATAAAGTCTTTCACTTAGGTCTTGACCCATTAAATATTTTGTGTATGACATTAGATAAGGGTCCAGTGTCATTCTTTTGCACATGAATGTCTAGTTTTCCCAGAACCATTTGTTGAAGATTCTTTTCCCCCATTGAATGTCTGTCCTTGGTATCCTTGTCAAAAACCATTTGACTATGTGTGTGAGGGTTTATTTCCTGGCTGTGTATTTTACCCCATTGGTCTATATGATTGTACTTATGATAAGTCCTCTTACTACACCTCTTTTAACTATTGTAGCTTTGCAGTAAGTTTTGAAATCAGGAAGTGTGAGTCCTCCAATTTTACTCTTCTTTTTCAAGTGTTTCTTGGCTATTTAGGTTCTCTTGAGATTCCATATGAATATTAGGATTTTCTTCAACTCTGCAGAAAACAAATTTTAGTGTTGACATTTTAACAATATTGTCTTCAGGTCCATAAATATGAGATGTCTTTCTACTTGTGTTTTCTTTAATTACTTCCAGCAACGTTTTGTATTTTTCAGTGTACAAGTCTTTTATGTCTTTGGTTAAGTTTATTCTTACATTAAAAAAATCAGTTGTATTTCTATACACTAGGAGTAAACAACCTAAGAATGAAATTAAGGCAAAACAATTCCATTTATAATACCATTAAAATGAATAAACTACATAAGAATATATTTACAAAAAATCCCCCACAATACTATGTGACATTCTTGAAAAAAATTAAATACCTAAAATGAAAGGAGAAATATCTCATGTTCATTGATTGGAAGATGTACTGTTGTTAAGAATCCAGTATTTCCCCCCTCAAATGACCTACATATTAAATGCAATATCTATCAAAATTCCAATTGCCTTTTCACAGAAGTTGACAAACTGAACCTAATTTTTTAAAAAAGATTTTATATATTTTTAGAGACTGGGGGAGGGAGAAAGGGAGAGAAACATCAATGTATGGTTGCCTCTTGAGCGCCCCCTACTGAGGACCTGCCACAACCCAGGCATGTGCCTGGACTGAGAATCGAGTCAGTGACCCTTTGGTTCTCAGGCTGGCACTCATCCACTGAGCCACATCAGCCAGGGCTGAACCTAAAATTCATTTGAAAATTCAAGGTCCCCAGGATAGTCAAAATAAATCTTTTTTTAAATAAAGAGCCAAGTTGGAGAATTCACTTCCTGACTTCAAAACTTACTTCAAAGCTACAGTAATCAAGACTGCGTAGAACTGGCATAAAGACAGATGTATAGCCTAGTGGAATCAAATTGAGAGTCCAGAAGTAAACCAATACATTTCTGGTCAATTGAGTTTTAACAAGGATGCCAAGATAATTCAATGGGGGAAAAGAACAGTCTTTTCAATAAATGATGCTGGTACAACTGGATAGCCACATGCAAAGAATGAATCTGGGTCTCTACTTCACACCACATACGAACATAACTTAGCATGTATCAAAGACCTAAATTTAAGAGCCAAACCTATAAAACTCTTAGAAGGAAACATAAAACACAAATTTGTGTGACAATAAATTAGGTAAGTTTCCTACATATCATATCTATAGCATGAGCAAACAGCCCTTGGCCAGGTGACTAGGTTGGAGTGTCATCTTGTACACCGAAGGGTTGTGGG